GGAGTTTTGGGCTCCTGGCATCCTTTCGCAAGAACAGCTCGGAACCCGTGGAGCGCTGGGACCTCAAAGCGGCAAAGGGGCTCAAGGCCGATCGGGTCGGGGTGCCAAGGCCTGCATCTGCCCGCGGCCGAATGTGTGCGACTGTCGACCCCCACCGAAACCCGTCATCAATCGTACTGTGAATGAGATCCCCTGCGATCCATTCCTAACTCAAACTCACCCTTCTATACTATAAAATCCGCATTCCCAGCACAGGCTACGAGTACGGGTCCTTGCAGGGAGCCAGAGCTGGGGATCGAACCACCAGGATGGATCCTCTCATCACGACACAGTATGTACGCGGCGTGCGCGATGATGGCAGGCTCTAGGCTCTTGATGCCAATTCGACACATTCCACGACCGACGAGACGGAAAGAGAGACAACCTGACCGGCGGCCACAATTCTTATACCCGGGCTCCACGGCGCAGGTTCGGGATGCCGTCTTCGACAAATCATCTTTGGGAGAGAGAGCTATCACAAGATCAATATCATCGAAGCTTTGCCGACACACTAGACCTGTCTGGATCGCGAACCAGCAGAGTGAGGAATCCGAGTCACTGGCACAGGAACGCTTCGAGCCGGGACTCAGACTTCGAGCTGAGGAGTGCACTCCGAAACCGGAAGCACTCTTGAGTTGGGTGCAGAAGTGGAGCTTCCAGGGAAGGCCAAAACCAAACGCAAAGCGCCGATGAAGCGAAGCAAACTTCAAACGGAGAATTGCAAAATGTTGAGGTGGAACAGCTAATATGCTAAGCTAAGCTAAACGTGCTCCCGGGTATGAGAAGCCTTTCCGCGGCGCGTCCTTCTCAATCTGCGTGCTCATACCCTCCAGAGTTCTCTCATCTTGTGCCCAGGCCTCAGTCTTTCAACGGTCTGAAAAATCTCACGGCTCGTCACCCCAAGCTTTCGTCTTCTTGGTTTCCTTCAGTGGTCACCCATTCATCACAGGTATTGGTCCAGGGCGAGTTGAGAGCTGTGTAAGATGCACAACATGACGCTATTCTCACTGGCCTGCACTATCAACTTCCCACTTGGCGCTCCTGGCCTTTTTCGTGCTTCTTCCAGAAAGCTGCGGCGACGAATTCAGTGTCACTACATAACCTGCCTGCCCTTGAAGCCTGAATCTAGCAACCTTCAACAAAATCCCTACGTAAGCATATCTAGCACCTATAAGCCTATAAGATCTCAGCAGCTGTTGGCTGCTCCTCGAATCTCCCAAGTCCAAGCTGTATCCCGGGCCCGGATCCAAATCATGCACAGCATATGCACATGCGGTCTGTGAACAAGTATACTATCCATAACCTTTTGGGGTGCTTGTATGCAACTATGTCGACACATTCCGATACTTGGAGCGTTAGTTTCGACAAGATCGATAAGATGGCTGAGCAGTCCACGGGCAAAGCGTTGACGGCGGACTCGATGGTGCAGTCGTCCAGCGCAGGCCTGAGTCGCTCCGCAAAAACTGAAGAGAGGCCTAGCCTAGTTCGCAAGATGAGGACACTGGTGAGTGACGAAACCGTACAGCAAAGGCTGCAACAAGCAACAAGGAGACATCGTTATCGTAGCGTATGTGCTGTCATCTACTGAAGCTGCTCTGTTGAATCTCTCGCACCAAGCCGGCCACGCATCAGCTGGGGGGCCGTTGACAGAGACCTGAATGTAAACTGACAGTCTGTTGTATCAGTACCTTGTTGCTTTTCATCGTGCATCTTTGTATGTAGGTTTCGGCAGATGCGAGGGAACGAATCACAAACAAATTAGCTTTGCACTCCAGGCACGACGAGACGAACCAAGGCCGTCTAAGGAAGACACTGGAATATGCAGGAGCTTTGTGTACTCTTTGAAGTATCCCTGACGGCATCGCGATGGATGCGGCAGCGCCGAAGGCAGAACACAATTTTGATGTCAAACAGCCCTCCTCGATCATTTCTCGAGTGTAGGGATACTTCACGTACCTTAGCACCAGGCTTTGCTGTGGAACGATTCAGCAGTGGTGACAGTGCTCGCTCTTCTAAAGCCCGGTGCTCGTGATCGCAGCCCTGCTCCTTGAACATCTTCTGGTAGTGGTCCTCGGCTGCCGGGACTTATTGTTAATGCCTGTGGGACATGGCATCTTGAGCCCTGGAAACTGCGCAAGATTGCGCGAGCACGAATCCAGACCCGGCAAAGCAGCTGCTAGGATGGCCTGACATTGTGAGCAGCCTGGATCCAAACCCTTCAAGTGGGATCAGTACAGTCTCGCTAGGGAGCCAAAGCCTCGAGGCTGCCCCAGGTCCCAAAAGCTCGAAGCCTGCACAGAACTACGTCTCTTGGCTGAAGCCTCAGGGCCCAGCCCAGTCGGCGATGCCTCGGCCCAATAGGGTCATAAGGTTAGGGTGGCACTGACATACATATATGCATGCAGCATGCATGCATCGCTTTTATGGACCTAAACCATTTAGTTGTGCCTGCTGATGTTGCATAGTCATGCGAAACACTCTGTAAAGCATAGAAGTACGACATGCATTTACAAGTTTTTGCGCTCGTGCAAAGCCAAGCTCTATCTGATTTGGAATGGCCTGTTCTGCAGTGTCCGGTACTTGTACGTATCGTCAAAGTCATATGGATTCTAGATAGTCTTTACATACCCCAATCTAGACATGAATCCAAGTACACGTGTACCTATGTTACGCTCAACATTGCTTGCTATGTCTCGCGATTGCTTTTGGTTGTCCCGTCTTCAACGGAAACACACATTTCTCCTATCTACGTGCACCGGTGGTGCAAGTGGCATACCTGGGCACGCAGCACTGCTCCAGGAAGTAATCCACCGGATGCCTTGTCTGTGGGATCGCAACTTTTTCAGCAGCTTGTTCCCTGTGTCTAGCGTGGGGGTCTGGGAACATCCTGCGCAACCTCGCCACTGCTGACGGCACACACTACCCCCAGGTCAAGCAAAACGGACTCCATCCACGACACACTCCTTTATCACAAACAGCCGAGTGAGCGCACGCAGCATGGTACATGCGGTACTTGTACTCCGGGTCGTTCCTGGCATTCATGAGGTGCTGGAATGATACTTGCTTGACCAAAATTGACCAAAGCAGGACTCGGAAAAGTGTCAACTGTGGACACACATTGTCGTGAACTTTGTGTAAAAACTCCAGCTCCAAAGGGGCAGGATCAGTCATGCAATGCAATAGCAAACGACTAGAACAGCCAGAAACCCGAGAGTCCTCGTCAGCTCTGACAGTCGCGGATTCATGGACTCCTGACTTCTTCGAGAGGACATGCTGCAGAGCGTGATTAGGATCGGTTTTCTCCTGCTTGCTCTCGAATGTGCGAGCTGCTGACTGCTCGTTTTGTGCATTCTCTTGCTTGCTTGCTTGTTTGCCAGGCGTTTGGATCGTTTGGAGCCTAGGGGTTATGCATTCTCTCTTCTTTCTTTCTTTCTTTCTGCCGGGCATAAGGGTCGCGGTGCGACCCACAGGCCCTCGGCCCGCCCCACCACATTGGTTTAGTGAGCGGTCGGCTTTGGGGTACTCCAGACTTCGGCACAGAACAACCTGGTGTGACTCTGAGCCTCTGAGTTGGCAACCTCTCTCTCTCTCTCTCTCTGTCTCGTCTTGTTCCACACAGCCAAGGAAGGCAGTTGCCTACCCTAGCCGCGTTACCGGTCGGTGTGAACTTAACAGAAAACGATGAGACTGACTCTCTCTCTCTCTCTCTCTCTCTCTCTTTTCTTCCACGCAGCCATGGGAGAACAAGTCTTTGCCCCCCTCCCCCCCCCCGCCCGCGCGTTACCGGGCCCTGGGATGTTGGGTGGAGCGACACAACGGACTAACTCAGTCTCAGATGCCCACCCCCCCCACTTAGCCGCCTCTCTCTTGCTTGCTTGCTTGCTAAGGCGTGTGGGTCCCCACGGAGACCCTTGCCCGAGGGCCTAACCCCGCAAAGGCTCGCGACTGTCGGTCTTCAAGGCCCCTTTCGGGATTGAGCGATGCCCACGTTCCGCCAAATGTGCCTGTCGACCCCCGCGCAATACCCAGCACGTGACCTAAGACCATCACCGAGAAAACCCCCAGGCATCACTTGGGTCATCCGTGCCGCTCCAGTCAAAGCTAATTGTGGGGCTCGTGGCTGCTTTCACTGTAAACACTCACTCCAAACAGTAGCAACAGCTGACGTTGCTCTAGTTTAACAACTTACGCCAGAAAGAAAGCTCTCTCTCTCTCTCTCTCTCTCTCTCTCTCCCTCTCGCCTCAGCAAACCTTACGAACAAACCTCTCTGCGGACAGGATGCCATAATGATTCCGGCAGACATGGAGTACTTCACCTGGCACGTTCTTGCACGTCAAGCTGCCGGTCGCAGTAGCTGCAATCAAAGCACCAGCTCGGAGGTTCTCAAATTCTGTGTGCATGGAACTCTCTCCGTAGAAGCACATATACTGCATGATCGTACATGCATATACAATCATAACCATGTACGGCAGACAATCGTCTCGTCATGACGCCCAGCTCAAATTACAGCACTCAGCCTTCACGTTTTGTTTCGACTTACTTGATGTCCAAGGAGCGGCACAGTGCAAGCCCCATCTAGGACCTAGGAACCTAGACAACCGGATCCCCGAAAGCACCACGACGCCAGCATCCTCTGTGGGAGCTGGAGATCTCATGGAGGAAGGTACTCGAGGGATCTCGCGGATTGCGTGCAAGAACGAATTGGAGGTGCTATGCGGGAGTGGCAAGGATGCACAGTGTGCTCGCCTGCAGCTGCTGCCCAATCGCGAGGCACTTGTCAAAGTTTCTGCGGCGATGTATATGACCGCAAGCAAGCAGCAGCTTTGACAGCTTCCAGCAGCACGTGAGCACCCGTCCCGAAAAACTAAACAAGATATGATAATGGAACAACTTGCAAAAAGCGAAGCAAGGAAGTCAACAGCCTCCTTCTAATCGCAAACAGAACAGAATAAGTTTGGCATCACGATTGGATGCTCGCCATGCCATCCGTCGAGCAAAAACTTTCAAGCGTGCTCGCTTTCTGAAGCGTCGCCTGTTCCAAAACATTGAGGACTTCTTGGAAGCCGCTGCGCCGTGCAAGGTCCTCCGGGGTGAGGCCCCGCCGCGTCTTCACATTGCGCCGCGCGCCCAGGAGCAACAAAGCTTTCACAATCGCAGGCTTGTTCTGGGAGACTGCCACATGCAATGGGTAGCCTGCACACTGCGTGGCAGAGTCAAGCAACTGCAACGGCTGCTAAAGCACATGCCCTATCCAACTTGGGCAGTTCAGGTCGCAGGTTGCTGAGCTTCTGCCAAGATGCGGGTGCGACCCCACGAATGCTGGGCTTCGTTGATGTGCATGAAGCCGTTCGCCTGCAAGAAGGTCTTCGCCATCATCTTGAGTTTGTAGTCCCGGGTGGCAGGGTGCCAAGTCCTCGGACGAGGCAAGCTGCCTTCCTTTCGCTCTGGGCTGCCCTCGCTTGTCTCCCAACTTCCGGTCTGGGTGGAGGAGAAGGACTGCTCCCTGTACATCTCCGGCTCGGAAGGGAATCCTGCAGGGATCTGGCGCTTCAGCTTCGGATACGGGCGGCTTCGAATCTAGCGAGCGTCTACCGTTACGCAGACTCTGCTTGCAGCTTCAGCTTGCACTCAGGTATCTGTGTGCTCAGAAGTGCACATTCAAACAATCAACCAAACGAACAAGCAAAGAAAAAAACAAGCAAGAGCGCACACACGCACACACACACACACACACAAGTAGCGAGTGCATGATTCTTCATCCTGCGATGTGAGGTGCATTAGGGGGCATGCTACATCCCAGGGCATTGACTTTGGACTTCCGTGAAGCAAAAATCATCTTACTCGCGGATGGGCTGCCTCGAGGAAAGTCTTTCGCCGGCGATAGCCTCGCTTGCGCAGGTACCTCGTGCGACCTGAGCCGTCGCGAGCTCTTGGTGTCAGAGCATTGCGCATGCACAACAATCCAACATCCCGGCCTGTCGCAGGGCTGGGAGGGTGCCATGCTTCACGAGCAGGCGACAGTGACAGAAGCCTCAAACAGCTGCGTGCTGTCAACGGAGGTTCCTGGAAGCACTGCTTTTCGCCTTGGAAAACTTCTCTAGTCAAGAAAACTCGACCCACATGGTGTCGTAGATGCCCTGCTCGTTCTGGTCCCAACAAAGCTGCACTGCCACAGAAGTCCTCCGCGAGTTTGTTTCTTCGACTTGACAAATGCGTGGTTTTAGCGTCAGCTGTCTTTGCAGTTGTTCAGCCTTCCAGTCACACCTGGACAAACTAAACTTCGGTGCGCGTGATCCGCATCCCCTGTAGGAGCTTGACCTCTATAAGGCACCTTAAGATGCTTGACTGATCTCAAGTCAAGGCAAGGAAACGAATTTGCTTATCCGGGAGCGGCAGTTGTAAAGGTCAGGCATCAGTACTGACGACATCGAAGGTGCAAACTTCTACATTCTACAGGTCCAATCATACATCGGCAGCAGTAACTTTGACCTTGACAGCTGCCAATACCGTGGGCTCACATGCCCCCACCCCCGAAACTATCAATAAACATGGAACGACTGGCTACCAGCGCAGCAAGGACGCCAATCGTGTCCTCACTGGCGCATACGAATCAAGTCTGGCATCACATTTGGATGCTCGCCATGCCATTCGTCGAGCAAAAACTTTCAAGCGTGCTTTCTTTCTGAAGCGTCGCCTGTTCCAAAACATTGAGGACTTCTTGGAAGCCGCTGCGCCGTGCAAGGTCCTCCGGGGTGAGGCCCCGCCGCGTCTTCACATTGCGCCGCGCGCCCAGGAGCAACAAAGCTTTCACAATCGCAGGCTTGTTCTGGGAGACTGCCACATGCAATGGGTAGCCTGCACACTGCGTGGCAGAGTCAAGCAACTGCAGCGGCTGCTAAAGCACATGCCCTATCCAACTTGGGCAGTTCAGGTCGCAGGTTGCTGAGCTTCTGCCAAGATGCGGGTGCGACCCCACGAATGCTGGGCTTCGTTGATGTGCATGAAGCCGTTCGCCTGCAAGAAGGTCTTCGCCATCATCTTGAGTTTGTAGTCCCGGGTGGCAGGGTGCCAAGTCCTCGGACGAGGCAAGCTGCCTTCCTTTCGCTCTGGGCTGCCCTCGCTTGTCTCCCAACTTCCGGTCTGGGTGGAGGAGAAGGACTGCTCCCTGTACATCTCCGGCTCGGAAGGGAATCCTGCAGGGATCTGGCGCTTCAGCTTCGGATACGGGCGGCTTCACATCCGAATCTAGCGAGCGTCTACCGTTACGCAGACTCTGCTTGCAGCTTCAGCTTGCACTCAGGTATCTGTGTGCTCAGAAGTGCACATTCAAACAATCAACCAAACGAACAAGCAAAGAAAAAAACAAGCAAGAGCGCACACACGCACACACGCACGCACACGCGCACACACACACACACAAAACACACAACACACACACACAACACACACACAACACACACACACACACACAACACACACAACACACACACACACAACACACACACAACACACACACAACACACACACACAGACACACAACACACACGCACAACACACACACACAGACACACAGACACACAGACACACAGACACACAGACACACAGACACACAGACACTCACTCACAGACACACACACACACTCACAGACACATACACACACTCACTCACAGACACACACACACACACACACGCACACGCACACGCAGACACACAGACACACAGACACACAGACACACAGACACACAGACACACACACAGACACACAGACACAGGGCACACAGACACACAGACACACATACACTCACTCACAGACACACACACACACACACTCACAGACACACACACACACACACACACACACACACACACACTCACTCACAGACACACACACACACACACACGCACACGCACACACCCAAGTAGCGAGTGCATGATTCTTCATCCTGCGATGTGAGGTGCATTGGGGGGCATGCTACATCCCAGGGCATTGACTTTGGACTTCCGTGAAGCAAAAATCATCTTACTCGCGGATGGGCTGCCTCGAGGAAAGTCTTTCGCCGGCGATAGCCTCGCTTGCGCAGGTACCTCGTGCGACCTGAGCCGTCGCGAGCTCTTGGTGTCAGAGCATTGCGCATGCACAACAACCCAACATCCCGGCCTGTCGCAGGGCTGGGAGGGTGCCATGCTTCACGAGCAGGCGACAGTGACAGAAGCCTCAAACAGCTGCGTGCTGTCAACGGAGGTTCCTGGAAGCACTGCTTTTCGCTTTGGAAAACTTCTCTAGTCAAGAAAACTCGACCCACATGGTGTCGTAGATGCCCTGCTCGTTCTGGTCCCAACAAAGCTGCACTGCCACAGAAGTCCTCGGCGAGTTTGTTTCTTCGACTTGACAAATGCGTGGTTTTAGCGTCAGCTGACTTTGCAGTTGTTCAGCCTCCAGTCACACCTGGACAAACTAAACTTCGGTGCGCGTGATCCGCATCCCCTGTAGGAGCTTGACCTCTATAAGGCACCTTAAGATGCTTGACTGATCTCAAGTCAAGGCAAGGAAACGAATTTGCTTATCCGGGAGCGGCAGTTGTAAAGGTCAGGCATCAGTACTGACGACATCGAAGGTGCAAACTTCTACATTCTACAGGTCCAATCATACATCGGCAGCAGTAACTTTGACCTTGACAGCTGCCAATACCGTGGGCTCACATGCCCCCACCCCCGAAACTATCAATAAACATGGAACGACTGGCTACCAGCGCAGCAAGGACGCCAATCGTGTCCTCACTGGCGCATACGAATCAAGTCTGGCATCACATTTGGATGCTCGCCATGCCATTCGTCGAGCAAAAACTTTCAAGCGTGCTTTCTTTCTGAAGCGTCGCCTGTTCCAAAACATTGAGGACTTCTTGGAAGCCGCTGCGCCGTGCAAGGTCCTCCGGGGTGAGGCCCCGCCGCGTCTTCACATTGCGCCGCGCGCCCAGGAGCAACAAAGCTTTCACAATCACGGGCTTGTTCTGGGAGACTGCCACATGCAATGGGTAGCCTGCACACTGCGTGGCAGAGTCAAGCAACTGCAACGGCTGCTAAGGCACATGCCCTATCAAAACTTGGGCAGTTCAGGTCGCAGGTTGCTGAGCTTCTGCCAAGATGCGGGTGCGACCCCACGAATGCTGGGCTTCGTTGATGTGCATGAAGCCGTTCGCCTGCAAGAAGGTCTTCGCCATCATCTTGAGTTTGTAGTCCCGGGTGGCAGGGTGCCAAGTCCTCGGACGAGGCAAGCTGCCTTCCTTTCGCTCTGGGCTGCCCTCGCTTGTCTCCCAACTTCCGGTCTGGGTGGAGGAGAAGGACTGCTCCCTGTACATCTCCGGCTCGGAAGGGAATCCTGCAGGGATCTGGCGCTTCAGCTTCGGATACGGGCGGCTTCACATCCGAATCCAGCCAGCGTCTACCGTTACGCAGACTCTGCTTGCAGCTTCAGCTTGCACTCAGGTATCTGTGTGCTCAGAAGTGCACATTCAAACAAGCAACCAAACGAACGTAACCAACAAGCAAAGAAAAAAACAAACAAGAGCGCACACACACACGCGCACACACACACACACACAAGTAGCGAGTGCATGATTCTTCATCCTGCGATGTGAGGTGCATTAGGGGGCATGCTACATCCCAGGGCATTGACTTTGGACTTCCGTGAAGCAAAAATCATCTTACTCGCGGATGGGCTGCCTCGAGGAAAGTCTTTCGCCGGCGATAGCCTCGCTTGCGCAGGTACCCCGTGCGACCTGAGCCGTCGCGAGCTCTTGGTGTCAGAGCATTGCGCATGCACAACAACCCAACATCCCGGCCTGTCGCAGGGCTGGGAGGGTGCCATGCTTCACGAACAGGCGGCAGTGACAGAAGCCTCAAACAGCTGCGTGCTGTCAATGGAGGTTCCTGGAAGCACTGCTTTTCGCCTTGGAAAACTTCTCAGTCAAATTACCTCGACTCACATGGTGTCGTAGATACACTGCCGGCCACCGCAGGGTCTTTTTATCATAATTATCTACACTGATCTACACCCCCTCTGAGGTGACGTTGCTTCCTCGTGTTGGTGGCTCATGGTGGCTCTGTCAGTGCAGATTGCCTGAATCGTGGCGGATGAGAGTTACAATACGTCTTTAAAGACCAGCTGAGCAGCGAGTTCGTTTGGTTCTGACAGCAGGCAGATCACAACACCACTGTGGGTGCTCGGGAGTCTCAGCAGCCGTGCATGGAAATGCGAAGGCTGTTTCAAAGCAGATGCAGCTGCATGCGCGCTGGAGGGCTTTTCTTTGCAAAATTGCACCCTTCCAGTCGAAGCTGGACAAACTAAACTTCGGTGCGTGTGATCCGCATCCCCTGCGGGAGCTCGACCTCTACAAGGCACCTGAAGATGCTTGACTGATCTCAAGTCAACGCATGGAAACGAATTTGCTTATCCTGGAGCGGCAGTTGCAAAGCGTCTGTCAGTCAAAGGCTCTGCCAATGAACATGGGTCAGGCATCAGTACTGACGACATCGAAGGTGCAAACTTCTACAGGTCCAATCATACATCGGCAGCAGTAACTTTGACCTTGACAGCTGCCAATACCGTGGGCTCACATGCCCCCACCCCCGAAACTATCAATAAACATGGAACGACTGGCTACCAGCGCAGCAAGGACGCCAATCGTGTCCTCACTGGCGGATGCGAATCAAGTCTGGCATCACGTACGGATGCTCGCCATGCCATTCGTCGAGCAAAAACTTTCAAGCGTGCTTTCTTTCTGAAGCGTCGCCTGTTCCAAAACATTGAGGACTTCTTGGAAGCCGCTGCGCCGTGCAAGGTCCTCCGGGGTGAGGCCCCGCCGCGTCTTCACATTTCGCCGCGCGCCCAGGAGCAACAAAGCTTTCACAATCGCAGGCTTGTTCTGGGAGACTGCCGCATGCAATGGGTAGCCTGCACACTGCGTGGCAGAGTCAAGCAACTGCAACGGCTGCTAAAGCACATGCCCTATCAAAACTTGGGCAGTTCAGGTCGCAGGTTGCTGAGCTTCTGCCAAGATGCGGGTGCGACCCCACGAATGCTGGGCTTCGTTGATGTGCATGAAGCCGTTCGCCTGCAAGAAGGTCTTCGCCATCATCTTGAGTTTGTAGTCCCGGGTGGCAGGGTGCCAAGTCCTCGGACGAGGCAAGCTGCCTTCCTTTCGCTCTGGGCTGCCCTCGCTTGTCTCCCAACTTCCGGTCTGGGTGGAGGAGAAGGACTGCTCCCTGTACATCTCCGGCTCGGAAGGGAATCCTGCAGGGATCTGGCGCTTCAGCTATGGGCGGTCCGGGCGGTTACCAAGAAGTTCCTAGGACCGTCTCAGCTCTTGATATCACAGCACTGCAAAACGCAACGAACTCACATCCTGGTCTGCCCAAGGACTTGGAATGAGGCGGCCGTGACAGAGAGACTCAAACAGCTGCGTGATACTTCGCAGAAATTGCTGGAGTTCTTCGCAGCCGCTGAAACGCAGAACATGCTTGCGGCGACACGGTCTGGTAGCAGCGATATGCCTTTTTCCATCGGCCTCTATGATGAGCGCTCGAGGCTCCTCCATGGCCTTGCGTGTCCACGCAGGCCAGCAGAACGCAGCGCTTCCAGCCGAGCCGCGACTTGCAAACCATGCCTGTGTAGCCATAGCCATTGCAACAGAACTGCCGGCATAAGCTGCAAGAAAGCCTGCGTTCCGCACAAAACGACTATAGAAGCGCCAGCTTGCTAAGCAAGCACGACGCACGCTAAATCTTTCACAATGCAACTAAATTAATCTGGCCTGAGCCTGTGCGCAGGGCCAGCTAGGAGCACCCTGTCCAGAGGTGGCTGCAACAGCCCGCAAACTTATGAACTCTTCCTTGCGGTCGTTCTTCTCCCGCCACCACACCGGCAAGCACACATGACATAGTGCTGCACTGCCGAGGTTGCACTGCCAGACTGCTATGCCTAGCACACGCTCACGGTAACCCTTGTATGCACTTGCTGTTGGGTCGTGCATATACCTTCAATGGATACTAGTATTCATCTATACATTCATAGACGTATGTGCATGTGTACGTTTTTATATGTATGCACGTATATGCATACATAATTGGGTAGTTCCCCAAGCTGTCGCCTTGGTGGGTGCATGGGCATACGGTTTCTTGCTCGATTGGATTGCCGACATGCTTCACGAGTCGCGAGAATCGAAACACCAGAGTCATTAGACCACCCATCCAGGTGACTGCTGTCACTGCTGAGATGTCGCAATGGTATAAGAAAGCGAAACGGCAACAGGTCATGGGAAGCTATGGGGAGTTGAACCCCAGGACACCGCATTCTCGTGGTGGCATTTGCCGTGACAACGATTACAGTTTCGAGGATTCCACGTGCAATCCCTCAAATTGCGTTCATGCTTCACAGTGACAAGGCCAAACTTACTGCAATCCTGATCACCAAGCAAAAAAACTGTTCGGAAGAAGAGCTCTTGTCTCGTTCGATTTCGTTTTCAACACTGAAAAGCAGCGGAGCTTCGTTCTGTCAATTAGCGGGTACATTGCCGTTCTCATGGGACGACCAGCTGTGCTGGTACTTTGGATGATGTATAGTGAGAAGCAAGAGCTTCGCCCCATCGAACACAAGAAAGAGCCTTAGTGCCTTAGTGAAGATGAAGCGTGCTCGAAACACAATGGAGTTGGTTTGTCGCTGACAAGTAGAAGGTGTTTCCACCTTTGAATTCTCCTAATGTCCCGGATTATAAACGGATCTGGGACTTCATCCTCATTGTTGGACGAGAAATGAGGCTTGTCTTGACATCTTATTGAAGCAGAGTGACAAGTCTTTTCTTTCGTGGTGCCAAGAAACGACATGACTGCCTTGTTCTCTGTCTGCATAACAGGAGTTATCTTGTTTCTTGCGGCATGGAGAGCGATGTACAAGGTAAGATGCAAAAAGCTTGGCATATTCCACGCTTGCCAATGATCGAGTGTCTTTACAATGCAATGTAGCGGGGCTCTTCTTTTTCCCGAGCACGCTGGCTGGCAAAGGGATTTCCGTTCAACCACGGCGACTGGCAAAGGAAGCTTTTCTTCGGGATCCGGTACGACCTAAAGTGTAATCAGAGATGAAGTCGGATGAAGGAGATTCATCCGCTTCTTTGAGAAAAGCTTTCATACTACTCATACAGCAAGAAACCACTACGTCTTCGGAAGCAAAACCGACTCCTTCGGCTCGATTTTTGACACGGTCGCTCGCAAAGTCCGTTTTTGGTTTAAGGTGCGTTTGACAGATGGCAATTAAGTAGAAGAAGTGAGGTAAGTCCAGATGATGTGGAGAAACAGCGTGCGTACATTCACCTGGAAGAAATCATATAGAGACATACAGTCGGAAAACATCATGAGGGGTGACACTCAATAGTTACAGTATATGACAGTATATGTGTCTATAAGTATACATACACACATACACACGCATATAAATCTATGCACACATGTGCATATATATATACACACACATAAAGAAAGGGAGTGCCTGCCAGCATGCGGTCCAGATTTTCTGTGTACATATCTACTCGGTATTGAAGCCTCGTTCACATGCTACCTGGGCCAACAGCCACCTCGGATACATGGGTGTCAAAGGCAGTGATCTGTGCCACTACAAATTTGATCGGCCACTTTGGGCAGTGCTCCGCAATCACATTTGTAACGTCCGACGAGACTGCGACTGGGAGCTTTCAAGCGTGCTCTCTTTCTGGAGCGTCGCCTGTTCCAAAACATTGAGGACTTCTTCGAAGCCGCTGCGCCGTGCAAGGTCCTCCGGGGTGAGGCCCCGCCGCGTCTTCACGTTGCGCCGCGCGCCCAGGAGCACCAGCGCTTTGACAATCGCAGGCTTGTTCTGGGAGACCGCCACATGCAACGGGTAGCCTGCAAATGCGAGAGGAGACAGAGCGCCTCGCATGGCGAAGGATTTGAAGGGTGTTCCGTGTTCCCACTGCAAGCAAGGTGCGAGTCCGACCCCATACGTGCTGGGCTTCGTTGATATGCATGAAGCCGTTTGACTCTAAGAAGGTCTTCACCATCATCTTGAGCTTGTAGTCCCGGCTGGTATTCGAGGCTCTGAAACGAGACAAATTGTCGGAACTGCTGCTTGCGGTGGTCCAGCTTCCGGTCTGAGTAGAGCAAAAGGACTGCTCTCTGTACATCTCTTCGGAAAAGGATCCTGGAGGGCTCACGAGCCAGAGTTGTGTGCCTGCCTTTGTGACCTTCTTGTGCCAGTCTCCTGCAACCTAGACCTGCCAGGCACATGATTTACAATCTACAAGACTGCAGATCTGATCACCCTGAAAGCAAACCCGGAAACTCTGCCTCCTCGGAACATGACACAGCCCCATGCAATTCCCAGACCCCAAACCACCGTCGATGTCCTTTCCCCAGCGGTCGAAAGGTGTCCGAGTCCTTCGAATCACCCTCATCTTGGAGCTCAGGCCTCGAGAGGCTCCGGAGAACAAAAGGGGAGGCAACAAAAAGATGTATTGACCTGGACAGGAACCAGGGAAGTGTTCCTGTTCCCCATCTTACAAAAAGAAGACAGTCCCACCCCTTCTCAGTTGCGCACTTCTCTGTCGCAAAGAAGAGCTGGAGCGCCATGTCGGTGCCGGTGTCAGTCAAACTGGTCCGTGGACGTCGGTTGAGAAACGGCTTCGGCTGGGATGAGGGCTTGTCTAGCTTGGCGTAAGGCTTTGCATGCTCGAGGCAGTCACAATCGTAAAGCATGCCTCTTTGCTGCAGCCGACTGCATGCTCTAAGGTAGTCGGATTCGTGGCATCGTGGACGATGCCAACTTGGCATTGGGCATCTCTGCGGATGCTCCGAATTCATCCACTGCAAGAGCTCGCAAGCTTGGGGGAGCTCGACTGCAGCTCTCCGGGGAGAGCTGCATAACTACACTGTGAACACCGCGCAGGCGCCTTGCTTTGCGGCCAGCAAGTGGCACAGCAAAAAGGACACAAAAACGCAGGCTTCTGGCAGTCGGACGGCAACTTCGGTTTGCATTCAGCATGACCGCATGTTACGAGACAAAGAGATTCCAGAAGCCGTGCGGAGCCATCCCCAGGCCCTGGCCCACCCCGTCGCCGCACTTCAAACTGTGGAGGCGAGAGTATTCGTGCAGCTCCGCCGGATCGGCTTCAAAACTTCAGGAAGGACTGATTTAAAATTGCACGAAGCAGTGCAATCACAGGGATCTCTGTAGGCCCACTGTGCTAGACAAATGGCTATTCAAGACTTCACCTTGCTCGGAAGCTCCTACCATCTCACATGCTCCACAATTAAACACTTACACTGACTTGCAATATACAGACGGCACTCCGCCTTCGTGTCATACGGCTCCCGAGGCTTTCTGATGACAGTGCACGCCCGCCCTATTCTGGGTGGCGATTTTGCTGGGAGCACACAAGGGAGGGGTTCATGGAGGACATGCAGAATTTCAAGGGATCTCAGATGTTCACTTTGATGTGCTCAATCACCTGTGCATGCGCGGTCGAGTTCGACTTGATGCCGCTGTCTCTACTGCTCCAAGAGTTCGCTTCGTGAATTGGCCAAAGGACCGGGTGCAAGAGGCACGTGTCTCTGCGAACCTAACACTTAGGTGGCGATCTGCTCATGTCAGCAACCTGAGCAGGAGCAGCTCTGCACTACCCGATCGAACCTTGATTCCATCTTGGAGACGTGCCCCACCATCTTCGTCCATGGCGAAGACATGCAGGACCTCCTGGAAGCCACCTGTGCAAAGGGGAGTGCTGCAATTCTCCGGAACCCATAGACAGCGCACTAACAACAAGTAACAAGAGAAGTCGGATCCCAATGCACGCCTTGTTGATGTTGAAGATGTTCGGCCAACTGCAACGGCGTCAAGCCGTGGGAGTTCCGCACATCCTTACCTGGATGTTTGCCGGAGATTGTACGTGAAGGTCACAGTTTCTTTGATCTGCAGCTTTAAGGGCCTCTTTGTCAGAGACTCTTGTTTGCCTTCTTCGCCATTGGACCCAGCACCCCGACACCACGCGCCTACCCGCTCCAATGAAGATGTCTACTGGAGTAGGGTCTCGCGTTTCAGATTTCTTCAATTGCGTTTGCCTCCGGCCATCAAAAAACATCTCGCAGAGTTTCCGTTAGCGATTGTCATACCACATCGTCCACTTACTGACACCGTAGAGTTTGTTGATCCAAGCGGCGGCTGCCCAGGAGGAGGAGGGCTTTGACGACACGAGGTCGATTCTGAAGCACGGCTTCAAGCAAAGGATGACCTGGAAGCATCAAAGCGCGAGCAAACGACCATTCAAAACAAATTGAAACCACTCCCGTAGGCTGAATTAGGCTGACATGAAACATTGAACGAGCTCTTGCGGACACGGCGCGCACGCGCACCGCGGACTCGATGTCGACTTCATTTACATGAAAGAAATCGTTGTCGTTGAGGAAGCTGCTCGCAACCCTCTTGCTTTGACTCTCGCTCATGGGGGCGGAGGCAGCGAAATCTTGCTCGCTGCCGCGGTCCCATTTGCAGCGCAAACTGTCCAGACTGGTCGCACTGCTCGTATCCAAGTCCGGGCAGGCAGGACGACCGGTCATGCTCCCTGCAGGGCGGTTCAAACTGCCACAACCCCCCATGCTCCGGAAACGCTAAAGCCAAGAAAAGTAAGCAGGCCCATCGGTTTGGGCACGTCGAGCCTGCCGGAGATGGCCCCTGAACATGACGCTGACTTGGGATCTTAAGTGAAGTGCTGGCGAAACTCTTGTGCTCGAGGTGAAATGCCAGGTGGATGAAGCTAACATGCGGCTTGTGAAACGTCGCAAAACCAAGTCCTTTCCTCGATCACTACGAAATAGCGTTTCGAACCAGCCAAACCCCTTTTGATCATGCTGCCTTGTTTGACCTTGCAACAACTGCTTGTTGACGTTTGGGTGACAGCAAAAGCAGCGCTCTTCTAGCGCAATCTTGGCTTGCATCTGATGTCTGGGTGGATTCGGGATGAAAGGCAGACTTTTTGCAGCCTGGACGCCTCCGCAAGATGAATCTCGCGCGCCTGGAGGCCTGCTGCGAGGACTCTCGCGGCCTGGTGCACTGCCCGAGTCGAGGAAATGGAGTTATGGAAACTTCCATCGCCGGCTTGTTATGCAATGCACTGCAATGCAACTAGGCTGCACCACCATTGAAAGCTATCCCATCGATGGAAGCCACTTGCGATTCTGTCTTTGGCTGCTTCACGGACTGGAAAGGCGATGCAGAGATTGTGCCAGATTCTGGCATCGTGATAGAAGGCGATTCGTCAAAGAAGCCAATGCTGCTCCAAACCTAGCATCTTGCAGCAGACCGGGATCAAAGTTGGTTGCACAATCCAAAAGGTACAATACTCCCCGAATCTGTGTCAAGCGAACAATAAGAAGCGTTGACAACTACTGGCATGCATACTTTGGTCTGATCAGGTCCCAGATGCCTCATCCTCCTCTGCTTCTGTCTGTAGCAGCCCCTCGCCATCCTCGGACTATCTGTAGATCTATGTATATGCATATCTGTATTGACAGTCGTAATGTTTTTGAATCATATAAAGGCTTGCAACAAAGCATATTAGAGCTATGCTTAGCGGCTTAGCGTGTGTGTGTGTGTGTAGATATATATATATATATAGAGTTATACATACATACACATACTTATTAGCTCAGAAATTTAACATACACCCCATTTTTAGACGGGCCCGTGTCGGGTCTGAAAATAGTCTCGATCAAGTCAGTAGATTAGACGCCCGGCCCTACTTGGCAAGAAGCACCATCGGATGCTGCATGCGCAGCGGGATAGAGATGGCCCATGCATCTAGACATCTCGTCGCAATTAGACGAGTAGAGCGTTTTTTTTGTAAGCATGATATCACACAACGTGCCATAAAGCTCAACTGAAAACGAATTTCTAATTCACACATCGACAAACCTTTTTGAACTTTTGCAACACATCAATTGCTATTAATCTGGGGCCGACCTTCGGCAGCAGATCTATGCACACGTCAAAACCGCGACATCTAGCAATGTAGCAGCACGATTGGTAGGCACGTAAACAAAGGCACGATTCCGCCGATATTCGCTGTGCTTTCGGCATCCCCGAGACGTGTAGTTATATATGGAAGCAACCCGTAGAGTCGACTCGAGCAGGTGGGGTTTCCTCTTGGACCGCAATATATATATATATATATATATTATTTCATTTGTGTCTATACATAGGTATATATGCATGTACATATATGCATAGAAATGCAAGTATACGCACAATTTCTTGCATCACCATAAAGCTTGTCTTTATCAACATATGTTTCGACATCCGTGGGTGTGGCTGCAAGGGTGTGCGGGCATGTGGGCGCTCGCACAACTTCTGTTCTCAAGCCAAGATGCTTTAATGCCTGCGTGCACAGGCACAAGCATGGGAGACTTGCGTGATTTCTTTTCACCAAATGCACCACTATATTACACTATATTACTTGCTAATCATGGCTGCCACTAACATGTGACAGCCGAATCGCGAAAGTCCACCAGTTTGTTTACATATGTATGTCCATCTAGCTCAGTATATGTATATATACAGGCACACAAGCCCATACATGTGGTGACATACAAAACTGTTACACACACACACACACACGCGCACCGCTGCGTGCATATTGCGCTCTGTGCACACGGGTGCTGTCCAATCTTCCTTTGTTCTAGTCACTGGTCTCTAGCGTGCTGGCCCTTGGGACGCGCTTGCGCGAACCTGTGGTGGACTAATCAATACGCAAAGATGTCTTCGCATGATACACAAAACTACAGGACTGCACATCACATGCACACGCAAGACATCTCTAGCCTTCGGCTTGTGCTGCCCTTGGACCGTGCTTTCAAAGACCTTGTGCAAACATGCTTTCCTCATCATTGGCCAGGGTAAGATTCAGCGCCGAATAAAAGACAAGACAAGAGTTGTCGGACGCAGCCCACATGACAGTGCGCCTGCATACATATGCATGAAAATCATTGGCATACATGCAGGAACATACACACGCGCATGCCAATGTGCAAAGAGATACTTTATCTTGCAAGCCAGTTTTTGCTGAAGCTGCACGCATACACAGCAACTTAATTATCCCTTACACTGGCATACATACGCTTTAACGGTTGGACAACACGGGGCTTTGAATGCCGACGAGCTGCAATAGAATATGTCGGTGGGTACGACCAAGCTTTCGGAATGGGCAAGCTCTCTGAAGTCTGTGGCTGCTCCTGTGTTTGCTGAACGATGGCTGGAAGCAAGCAATCACTAGGTTCTCTTGGAACGTTTGCTCGATGTTGCGCTACATCCACCTACGACAATGCTAGCTTGCTGGATTCGCTCATGCTATACCTACGTGTTCTGCCCGCCTGTATCAAGCATTTAACAAGTCAGAGATGTGCTGAGAATTGCTCGTGCTTAAAGAGCTGAATGATGAGAAGGCTGGCGGCAATGGCTTTTCTGCCAGATATTCGAATCGTCTTGGATGACAATTATTCCGGAAGAGTGTGAAAGCCCGTTTACGGTATGCTTCAGTGCTGGGAGGCGGGCGACACTCCTACGCGGGTCCTACACCTGCTGAAAGATTAATAGCATTCGTTTGTCCATACTGCAGCGGATAGTAATGGGTCGAAATCTGTACAATTATACGGCAACCATCTGTGCGCAAACCAAGATGCGGGCAAGCACGGCTCAACCATATCCTGAGGCTCCGTAGGTCAGTCCGCTGACTTCTTGCATGCGACGGGTCCCGCACTTGGCCGGCCAAGTCACGTCCGGGGAGCCCATGTCCCCCAGCGGGGGACGCAGCTCGAGGCTCCTATCCATTTGTTGTGATGCTGGCCACCGGAATTGCTTCCCCTCAGATGCTCGCCCGCTTCTCGAATTCGTTAACACGACCAGCAGGCAAATCTTCAGCAACACATAACTCCCTCATCTCCGAAAGAACCACCTTACACTGTTACCCAGCGATGCCGCGAGCCAGGACCCGGCACTTGCTGCAGGCTGCTGGGCTGCTGTTTCTGGAGACTTCCGAAAGGTCAGTTCTTTCTGCTGGCAATTGGCTTCGGACTGTACCTCCGAGTCAGATCCAATCGAAGGCTCCTTGCAACGAGGAGTTCAGCTTAACGGATTTCTCCCAACGCAACAGCCATCAGTTTGTCAGTAAACTGTTGTCGGTAAAATCTCCCTGTGCCTGCGCAGCACCGTACCCTGCGAAGCGAGAGAGAGAGAGAGAGAGGAGAGAGAGAGAGAGACAACTAAACGAGTATGTAAGCGTATGTATGAAAAAAATATGCATGCATGCATGCAGGTATGGATGCATACACATAGTTACATACACATACCCAGTATGCCTACAACATACACATAAACATAGATACATATACATATATATATATATATATGATACACACACCTGTATAGATACTGACTTATTTATCTGTAGATCCGTCCATGCATGCATGCATGCATGCATGCATACATAACTGACATACATACTTGGTGGAAATGTGTGTGTGTGTAGAAGAAGTAAGCATACATACGTACATACCTATGTACACATGTAGATGTGTATATATATATATATGTATGTGTGTAGATACACACATACATACATAGAAAAGGTGTGTGCGCCTGTGTTTCTTTCATTGGTATACCCCTCACGACAACCTTGAGTGCCCAGGCACCGTCGAGGCGGGCGCCTCGGTCTCCTGGTGCACGATTCAACTGCGAGATTCAGCTTCAGCGTAATGCATATTCATGAACCGCGACAAGGCATCGCAGTTGCCGTGGTTGTGGCCCCGTGCATGATGCTGGCCGGTGACAGTAGAAGGAAGGTCAGAGCTTTGCGCAGTGATTTGAGAGGTCACGCGCAGCAGCAACCTGCATACTTGCGCACCATCTGGGTTTGAAAAGCCCTGGTCCTGGCTCCAGTTCGGGGAACAGTGGCTGCCGCATGTCTTGGCAACAGAGTCAGACATCCGTCACAATAACCATCAGATACTGAGCTCTTGCATTGCAGCACCATGCTGCCAACATGCTTCACTGCACTCACGGACCGCAGACTTTGCAGATACTGATGCCGGGATGCGATCGTACTGCCGCCGAAATCCTGAATTGCAATCTCCGTCCACGAAAGCGCTTGAGATTCAAACAGTTTCCATTGAAGTCGGCGGAGATCAATCAGTTCTTCTATTCTGTCCAAGATGTCGGCATGTTTGGTGAGGCACTTGACGCACAGCATTCCCATTTCTTCTCGTACACTACATTTCATTCTTTCTACCCACCCTTCAAGCGCAGCAATTGGAGTGCACGCCACATCTACCTCTGGAAAATTCAAGGCACGGCCACCTGGACTCTTTCCTTGTCCTTAGTTAACCGCCAGTCCCACTGACACTCGAACAAACGCTCAAGAATCTAAGGGTCGGTCCCAGCGGAACTCGTCGATCATTACCCAATCAGCTTGCGCCTGAAAATGCACCTGAAAGCGTAGGCACTTGGAACAGGTCCTCCATATTCATACAAATGCCCAACAAAGCCAGCAGCCGAAGATAAGTAGTCCCATAAACATGGACCAAGAGAGGTTTGCATCTGCCGCGGCCTCCTCCAGGTCATTCTCAATTTTTTCTCCAGCACTCCTGCGTCCAAAACACCACTGTAAGTTGGCACCCTTTCTCGCAGTCATGTGTGTCCCTGTTGCGGCTTTGCGGTTTAATGAACTTGACCGTCTGATGAAGCAGGGATTTGAATCCTCTGAATGGAAGCATTCCGTTCAAGCTTCAATTGTCTTTGTTTACGATATGAGCACTCATATGGCAGACCTGCTCGGCTATAGCTGAGGAAAGCAGGAACTTGCCGTCCAAACAAATCATTGGACGAGCCGGAACAAGCCGGGTTTGTAAGACAGCCTTAGGCCGCGCCCTTGTGCGTGAACGGGCAGCAAGTTCGCAAGGCCCTTATGTGGGGTATAATGATTTTGGAGCGTCCCTCCACCGACAAATTGGGGTCCGTGGCTTGAGCATTGTTGAAGGGTATAGTTAGTTGAATTAACTTTCCGTGGGAAGCTTGACAAGGAGCCAAACAGAATGTGGCGAACGCCGACGAATTCGCACACCCTCCCCAAAAGGATGATGTTTGCATCCAAACATTTCTTCCGTTCGCATGTTTCCGTGAAGAGTCAAGACTGCTACTTGCATGGCATAGCTCCAGATCTTGGTGTAGGATACCGGTCTCAACCTCGTGTCACATTAGTGCCCCGGAGCCCAGGCCTGTCAAAACTCGAGGCGCTTTCACATCAAAAAAATGCCGAGACTGACAGGAAGTCCCATGAACCAGTCCCCGCATCCTAGCTCTCTGGAGAACGCCGGTATCAGCGCACTGGCAGCAGCCGATCTGAAGCTTCCAGAATCCAACCGCCATCCCACGAGTTGTCTCCGGGAGGCGGGGCAAAAGGTGAAGCTTAAACGGCGGTGCCGGGCAGGTGTGCAAACATCCTCGTGCCATGGGGCCTTAAGGCAGTCAAAATTTCAAACCTGCAATCGGCGCATGAATCCAGACAATTCAGCTCGTGCCGCAAATGCTGTTTCTACCTGCAGCTACTTCGGAACTGGGTATGCACGATCGAATCGCAATCCGGAGAACCTGTGTCAGCACAGGTGCCGGGTGCGCAAATTCAAAACGAAGACCCCAGCAGCGGCCATGAACAGCTTGTATGCACTGAATCTAGACGCCCCGGAATACTTTGTTGCTGCCCTAATGGCCGCGAAACTGCTGATAAGATCTGTGAATGACGTTCATTCGGGAGCGAGGTCTGAGGCATTTGCTCGACATTGCTCCATTTCAAAGTTTCACGTGCCTGATTCCAGCAGGCAGGCAGATTCGTGAACTACAGAGTTCGTGGGGCATGTTGCCCGAAAACCGCAAGGTTCTGCTGTGCTCAGTAGGCAGATGTGAGAGATAAGCAATCTGCGCCGTGCTGGAAAGCCAGGATGAACTAACACTACTTGGACGAACCCCAGGCAGTATATTCTCCTGAGATCGGTTAATAAGACGAACTACAACAGAATCAGTCGGCGGTGAGTGGTGTCTTCAGGCTGCGAGTCGGATTCCGAGGTCGAGCCTTCAGATGCACAAGCTGTGCTGCCTTCTGCCCGCTTGTCGGATTCCGAGGGTGAGCCCGTAGAACATCTGCATTCCTCTGCCATCACATCAAGCTCCTGGAAAACCGAAAGGACTCCCGCATAGCCACCTGCTTGGAGGCGGTTTAGGATTTAGGAGTCATGCCATTCAACGTTTCCTTGTAAGATCTTGTCATTGTAAGCGACACTTCATTCTTTATAAGCCAAGCACCCCATCTGCGTTCATAGCGCCGCGCCGCCTCCTCAGCTGTCAAGCCGCCACTGATGGCCGTCCTGCTGGCCCCCAGCTGCAGGAGTGCCCGGACTGTGGCAGGCTGATTCTGCCGCACAGCTGTGTGCAAAGGATAGCCTGAGCCAGCGAGTCATGGACGCGTTCTTTTGCACGTCCGACTTCTGGTACGAGTACTCGCACTCTCTCTCACTGGGCAGGAAGTATGCAGCGCCGAAGCCAAAGCTTGCATGGGGTTCGTGTCCGTCGTTTCCACCTCCCTTGGGCTGAAAGCAGACACGTGGGCCCCGCTCTCGGTTTATTCTGGCGTGCAACTTTGAGACATGGCTGACGAGTACCATGTCCGGTTTTTCCCTCTCGCATTCAGACATGGTAAGTCGTAAGTTTCAAGGCACGAACACGCCACCCTCGCCTTCGCGATGTCCCGTCGACACGCTCCTCCCTCCTGTTTTGTCTTTGTCTAGGGTCTGAGGGTCCGATCATGGACCCCCGCCTCATCTTCGTCTCTTCACTTCGCATCGATGCGGGAAGCACAAGCAGTCGCGGGACGGCGTGTTCGGTTGGACGGGCTCGGCCGGACAGAGGGACTGTAGCTGGGAGGTTTGGCGCCCCGACAAAAGCTACGCGGTTGACACCCAGACTTTAAGCGGCTGTCGACGTAAAAGCTTGCCTGAAATAGCCGCGCTTCCACTCTTTGGCTGGTCGTGGGCACACTGTTACACCCCAATCCTATCCGGCTTTGCTTGTTGCTTGGCTATAGACTACGGAACACCAGCATGATGCACGCTGACTCTCTTTCTCACTCTCTCCTGCTCAGGCTGCTTTCCCGGTGCACTCGTACGTGCCGCTGGCCGCGTGAGATCGCTCTGTCGCGTGACTGCCAGGTGCGTCTACAAGTCCTATATATGGTTCCGTACATGTTCACACAGCCTGACTCTTGAATGCTTGGTGTGAGAGACCCGAGAGCTCCATGTCACGACTACACTCCCCAGGAAAAACATCAAAAACGACAGGAGAAGTCTAGATGTGGGAAGCTCCCTGTGCTCTATCCCTGACTTAATTGCTGCAACCTTCACCTCATCCCCAATACGTGCACTCGCTGTCACTCACTGACGGCTGCCTGCCTGCTGGAGTGGCATTTGTTTTTGGGCTTGTAGTGGCGTGCCGTTCATCTGACCAGCTTTGAGGTGCTCCCGTATATGACACGGGTGGGGGCAGCTAGACCCGTGCAAACCTGTTTGCACACACTTTGCACCGTGTACTGCCCCCATTCCCTTCGGCCATTGCTCGGGACTCAGCCTTGCGTGACATTCTCGGTCCTTCTTTTCCTTTCTACTGTAGAAGGTCGGGGTGCTCGGGGCAAGTCCTGGTTTCTTCCTTCCTCACTCTCTGAAGATCATTACCTCTCAGGCCAATAGCATGACCCGTGCAGTACGGGAATCGAGTCTATCTTCAAAATGCAGCTCGAACACGTCTGCGGCCCCAGGACCACTTGGCAGCGTTCACATGGAGGTACCCATTCTGCTCAAGGAAAGCAGCCACTAAGGCCGTGGATTTCGTTGTCTTGCGTGTCTTGTTGCTCCTTCTGGATGGCAGGCGCTCAAGACGAGCACTGCCAGCTCGTTCGAGAGAGCCCTCCAAGCCGTCTGCGATTTCGACCCGAGTGGACATGGAGGCAATAGTCAAAGGAGAGATACTGCACGCGGGTCCTCGCAGCAACCGCCCCACATCATCCAAGGAAGCGCCGATTTTTTCTTACTACGACATGCGGACTTCAACTAGCGAGCACATGTTCCTCTGAGAGGGAGGTGGCTGCACCTTTCGTGAAGTTTGCGCCCCTCGTCTCCGGCTGTCTCGGCAAAGTGACGAATAGAACCTATGCCAACTTTCAATTAATCCTACTAGTCTTGCCGCATGTCTCCGTCTGTGAGATCGGAGTGTAAACAACAAACACTGTAAATACATAGATGGTACCTGAATACGTAAAACTCGCAAAATCTAACCAACGAGTCAACAGTAACAAAATGCTTGTCACACATGCTGTGTATGTATGTATGTATGTATGTGTATGTACATCTATATGTACATGTGCCTGCATATGCATTCTCCTGCAGACATGTACGTCTCTCTAGAAGCCCTCTAAAGCTAGATTTTATCAAAAGGGGGTATACGTAGCTGGCAGATGGACTATGACTGCCGTCCTCCAGTTGGAAGATGTCGCCCCGACTCTGCATCATGGAGGGGGCTCGGCTTCCTTCGCAAATCAATAACGGGACCGTGTCTGTTGCCAATGGCGGTACTGTCGAGAGGTTGCACGCACCGTTAGAAAAAAGCATTCATGTTTGAGCCCGCACAGAGAGGTGCATCTGTCTAGATGGTGATAGATGCAAGATGAGCTCGTTAGCTCTTCGCACCGCTCCTGGCCCCGACATGTCGCGCAGAAAGCATGGCAAGCAAAACGAGGCAGAGTGGGAGGACCCTAACCACAACTGAACTGACCTGGAGCCGGGCAACGATTGCGAGCAACTTAGTGTTTTCCTAGCCGGCTTACGTAGGACTTCGTCTACCTACAAATAGCGGCACCGCGCAGCACACCCTACCAAGCAATGCGCACATGCACACCTGCCAACTTCACAAGATCTCATCCAGCAAGTGCCCTTGTACAGCCGGGCACGTTCCAGAAGCACTCATCTCAAACTGTGAAGGCTGCACATCATAGACATAGGCGGGCTTGTCCAGATCCTTGTCCTTAGAAAGCTCCATGTAGACGGAAGACTATCTGTCTACTGGTGCTCGCTGGCCTGTACACCAATACCAATATCTGCATTGTATCGCCTGAAGTCGAAACATAATGGCAGTTAGTCTCATCCATTTTGGAATCAACCACAACAGCGTGGTTGCGAAATCTTATCGATGGGTCATGGAACTTGGTGCGGGTCTGCTTTGTTGGTCGGGAGCTGCTTCAGCAAGCCCTGGCCTGAGCAAGAATGAGAGCCGCTGCAGTACTACTCCTATACCATTGACAACAAGCTGGTCAGGCGGAGCCCTTTCCACCCCGGGAAATCTCACACATGATGCGCCATGCCCTGTACGCCCCACCAGATTGCGGTATGCATGCACAAACATCTTCAGTCAAGCCTTGCATCCTGTAGTACTCCGTCGGATGATCCTGGCAAATCAACGCCATGAGGGTGGCAGGGGCTGTCTCTCGAAACGATAGCAAACAGGCTTGAAAAGGGCTCATCTGCTGCAATCTGCTAGCAGGTTTCACCTAGTGAGAGGTTTCTTTGTGATGCTCTTCAAGTCACGTCTCATGTACCGGCAGCCATGCATCAAGACTGGATCGAGCACCATCTTGCAACATTCTTTGGAGGATCTTACCGGAACGAAATGCCTACTTACAAGCCTGTGCTGCTGGCAGACTGGCAAGGCTTTGGGACTACATGCAAGAGGACATTGGGAAATCGCTGAAGGTGCGAGCCTCAAGCTGAAGACTCCAGAATTCAATACATACTTCGTCATCCAAAGCTATCTGCAGGCAACTTTCAAAGGCCCTGCTCTCTTTGTAAGGCCAAGCGTGGTTTCAGCAATGTCCAAGCCCAGGCTTTCTTCAACGTTGAAGACAGCTGCAAATCTCTAGCCAAGGCTAAGGCCTGCAAATACTTCTGCCCCAAGATCCATCCATGAGACCTGGCCGAGAGCCAGGAGGTTTTCGATTTCGAAATTCAGGGGGCCCGGGCCTAGTGCTCAAACACGGACTCTTCCTAAAGGATCGCTCCGTGCGTGCGAGGAAATTTGAGTATGTCGTTTCTGCCCGCAAGCGATGCCTAGCGACACCACGAAGCTCTTACCGAGGCGAATGCTGCAAGTGGTTGTGTTACAAGTTGTGTTTAATGACAGAGTGAATATCACAAGCTCGGGCGCACACGTACACAGGTTGGATCTCCAGGTTTGCTGCGCTCGAGTATGTGCAGAGCGTCCGTCTGAGTCCGTGCATGCACCTTGCACCTTGGGATCAGCCCGAAATGCAATAGCGGCGGGGAACCCAATGCCAGTGGAGAAGGTCGTAAAGTTGGCCGCGTTCATGCCTCGCACGCTCATTTATGTAGGAGTCATGGGCCTGCGAGATCCCAAGCAGAGCTGAGTTGCTTGTGCTTCGTGTGTGTCTGGGTGTGTACGCTTGGTACAGATTCAAGAGCTGTCACTCTCGGTTTGCACGACTGATGTCTGAATCACAGGCTTCCACTGTCCACCTGTGCGCAGGGAACTGCCTTGTTTCGTGCCCATGAGAGCGGCGCAATCTGCGGAGCCGAAAACAACCAGGTGGAAATCTCTTCGAGAGGCCCACTCCGATTTCAACATGGCCCCACCAATAATGGAATGGCGTTTCATGTCAACCAGCTGCTACCAAATACCACTGCTTTCGCTGCAGTGTCAAGGCTCCTGTTCACGTGCACAGAGACTCGGCACGGTGAAGGCAGCCGATGGAACTTCTGGAACGCAGGCCACGCTCTTTTCAAGAATATGGCTTTGCTGATGGGGCAATTGGCCGAGCTGCTTCCAAGATTGACATGCATAACTAAACGGTCACCTAATGCCAGAGCACTTGTTTGCACCCGTGGAAACTTTCTGTGGCCGATCCAATCGATAGGCCTAACTGCTCGATCTTGGGTAGCCCAGCTAATTGCCAAGAAATGACAACGTGGCATTTAGCCATTTCAAGATCTTAGCTGCTTTTGGCAGCTCCGAGGTCTCGAAGGTGCCAGCAAGCATGGCCCACTCCACAGACTTCGCCACGCTCCGGGCTCTGCCAGATCCGGGCATGAGTGGTCTTTGTTGGAAGACGATTGTCAGTTGCAGCTGGAGGTGTAAGGAGCCTAGTGTGCAGCTCTTCCAACAAAGATGTGGGTCCGAGCTTGGAAAAGCAATGGCACTTATCGACTGTGCAGGGATCCTTCCTTCGTGGCGCATGACCTCGGCAGGCATGGACAAGAAGCACTAGCACGCGATGTCAGAATCTTGAATTTCGGGCTGCCTTCAAGCCCGGTATCAGTGTATGGGCAAAAGAATCACTGTGAGGCCTGCGCTATCTCGCACTCCCACATAGAAAGCCAGAACAGGACATTGGGCGAGAAGCTGCTTAAGTTTGGACAGGTCGCCAGCAATGTGGCACTCTGAGGCTCATGGCGCTGCGCAGCAAAGCCAGCCTAAGCGGTCCATGGGATCGAGCTCAGGGCTTGATCATGCACCATCTGCTTTATCCTTCTGACCACAGTAGTGACGAGTGTGGCAAGAGGGTTCGTGCTGCTGCCGATGATGACGATGGTGGTGAAGGTGATGACGATGATGTAGGCATTGTCTTAGGTGCTGTCGAGAGTGTCCATGAAGAACATGGGCAGTCATCAACAGCTTCCCTAACCTCTTTGATATGCGGCTGAAGGCATCTGAAGGCTACTGACCTCCCCTCCAGCAGCTCAGAGAATTCTTCCGGCCTCCACCGGGTGCCGGGGTCTCCTCCAAAAGGATCGGTTTCTCCTGAAATTGCTTTATGTGGCAGCTGGAAATACCTCACATGTGATCGTCTGACATGGGGAAGGTAGTATTCACTCCTTGTCAAGTTTATGGACCGACTCAGTGTGTGTGAGTGTCCTCTTCATTACCTTTGCTGATCCCGTTGGCCTGCGACACCGCCTCGGCTGAGACTTTGGTCGCAGCCTCCTCCTGAAACATGCACCGCGTTCAAGAAAGGAGCGGCTCCTTGAACAAGCCTTGGCTTTTTACGCCCACAAGATTCCCGGCGAAAGCTCTTTAACGGGTCCTCTACCTCCACGTTGGCAATAGGCGTCGTCACGCTTACAGGCACCACCTGACGAAGCAAACACAATTGGCAACCCAACAGAAGAACAAGTGATGAGTCCACCTCGGACCTGGTATCGCAATCTGCAGCCCTTGAAACTTCAGCTTAACCACACAGAAGTAGCACAAAACACCTTGCTTCCGACCCAATCCCACTTAGCCAGTGAGGGAGAGCTATGCGAATTGCGGGCCTCCTTGGACTCTTTGGCATTCTCGGGTCTGGTGCCCGGCTTTGGCGGGTTCGTGGCACCTGCGTCAACGTAAATATTAGATATCTCTGCACCGGAAGCAAGACCCTCAACCTGCCGTGAAAAACATGATAGCACCACGGCACCTTTCCTGGTGATCCCCGCTTCTTTTCGAGCCATCCATTCAGCGATCCTGTCTCGGTATGAGCGTCAGAATGGCTGCTCAGGAAGACGCAAAAAACACGAGGAGTCCAGGAGTCATCAACAGCGATCAACCCAACAAGAATCTCGCTCCTGGACGGGTTATCCTGCGCCAAGGGGAAGTACAATGGGATGTCCTCTGGCTTCTTGGTGCCTGCTTCAGCCCAGGATCACATAAGCGGCCACTGCTAAATCTACGTGATTCTTGATGTGATTCCCGGTTGCAGGAGATAAAGGCTAGCTCGGTCGTGCCCCCCCCCCCCACCAAGTCCAACATTCCTACTCCAAAGCTCAACCTTGGCGACCTCTCGACCATTCTTAAGCTTTCATAGGTCATCCACTCAGCAGGAGATTCTGATGCCTCCGAGAGAAGGTGGGAACATGCTTGTTGGCCCAACGACTCGGAGCTGTGCCTGCCCAGCCAGGCAGCCAGGGTCCGCAAAAGCAACTCGCAGTCGCCCCTATACTTTTCTCTCCCATCCGAACCCGGCCTGTACATCTGCATCGGAAGCGCTTCCGAGAACTTTGAGTCGGGCAGATTGTCTGCGAGGGGCAAGACAAAGGTGCGTGAGGTCTTGCATGGGTGTACCATATAAACATAGAGTCTTCCGTCTTCGTTTCAGCGCATACAGCGTGCGCTCCTTGTGCCTATCAGGCTTCCTGTGGCGCAGCACTCAACTAAGGGGGAGCCAGCAAGATGCCACGTACAGGGCTCTTCTGTCCAGCATCCGGCTAGCCGCACCTCTTGGTCATAAAGGTGTGGGCGAACATGACGACGAAGCGAATGATCCAGGGCGCGTTCACGATCAAAAGGAGGATATCATGATCACCTTATACAACAAGCGCATGTGAGCTATCACAGGCAAAGAAGGCTGTCGTTTCAACTCCATATTACGGAACGAAAGTCTGCCGCACAGTATCGTGTCATCATCATCTGCTGGGCTGCTGGTCTATATTCCGAAAAGCACAAGCTTTCTTTAAAATGCTCAGCTTGTGTTCAGCAGGATTTGGGGTAGCGCGGGCTCCAGACTGAGAAGAAGTGATCATCCTTGATAACGAAATCTCCACCGGAGCCCACCCCTGCCACACCCAGTTCTGAACAAGGTCAAGTCGCAGTACATGGACATCATCTGCTTGGCATTGTCTTGAGCGAACTTGCGAACTTCATACACCCGAATAGGCAGGATCTCCCTTCCCAAATGCTGCGCATCGATCCTCAGCTGCGAAGCTTCGCAGAGTCAGCGGCATGGCAGCAGACTTGCAGTGTAAGCTTGAGAACTCAAGACTCTGAAATGGAAGACAAGGATCACTTTGATGGAGTACAGCATTTTCTTCTTCTCGTAAGATCTGTCATCCACGCGCTTCATCATCCACTCCATGCCCGCTCTCACCAGCATCAGGTCGTTCTCCATTGTGTGGCATGCCGGGCGCTGGCTCACAAACTCCTGCGCCTGTGCCCAGGAGATTGGCAAGTTAAGTTGTATGTGCTGCATGGCCCACTGGATGCAGTGAGTAGACTTCCCGCTGTGAACCGAATGCTGGCCTTGAAGTACCCAGGAGACACGAAGATCACCGTGTGCCCGTCCTGCGCAGCCCGGTAAGTCAGCAAACAGACAAAGTGCGGCGACACGTGATGATGGCAGCAGACAAATTGAGGAGATGCCCCATAAGCCCGTCCTCTGTTTCGGCAAAGCCGGGTACCAAAACGGGTGAGTAAGGTGACCTGGCTCCAGCAGCAACCATGGAACACATGTGGTCCTCCTGGTCAGCAGCAGCGCTGACTGAATATGTGAGGCTGACGGACGCAACAGGCTGCGATGAGGGGGACGACGATTAAACTAACGATGTCGAAACTTCGTGTCGGGATCGTGGTATTTTGTTGCTGTGCTGTTGTACAGTATGTTGTAGCTGTCGTAGTACTTGACGTCGTCGTGGTGTAGTAGTAGCCGTCGCAATTATGGTTGTAGTTGTAGCTGTAGGGGCTGTTGATGTTGCTGCTGTTGTTGGTGATGGTAGTGTGGCTGTCCCCGGCACAGGTGCTGTTGCAGTTCTTGTTGTAAGTCGGTGCTGGACCCGAACATGCCTCATTTGGAATGCAAATCGTGATGAGCGCGGACTGAAAAAAACGACTCACATCAACATCAAGAGCTGCATGCATGCCCCTGAATCTGCACCCTGCCTTGCCGAATCGCACCAAGCGTGGAAGTCATCCGGATTTAGGTCAATCAGGCCCTGGCCATAGCACGGGAGGATGTTTTGCGTTGCCAAGGGGGCCTAGACAAGAGTTCAACAGGCAAAGCAAACCGAGAGCACGCTCGAGATCTATACGTCTTGAATGTGGCACATACGGAGGCCATGTATGAAGACGATGGCTTGATCAACGTCATGCTGTAAGTTGCCCACCGCATCCCAAAACCTGAAACCAACAACGGCAATGCCGCACTGCTGAAACATAGTACATCATTACCCTCTCACATGCTGCTGTGGACTGGCTGCGGCATCACTGTCTCTATACCAGTCGACTGAGTTCAAAAGACCAGTCCATTCCGCCGCATGGGCGGGCTGGACGGTGCAACTCCAAATATTTTTCCCGGCAGCACCTTTCTCAGGGAAGGGATATCCTCCTGCACCCACCACTTCAAGAACTCGGCCAGCCCTTTGGCAGCCTGCGTGGAGGGATTCAATTACCAACTTTGTGATTTGAGACGTATTCTGGCTGTATCTACAATACGCTGTGAATCAGCGGCCGAATCGTGACACTTCGCACTGAGCCTCGTTGACCTTGCCACCATAGAAGCGAAGGTACCGGCACACCCGGATGTCGCCGACAACCTTTCAAGCGCGGGAAGGTAACCGAAGATTGGTGAGGGAGGTTGCTTAACTTGAGGGAAACACTGACAGAACTCCCGCTCCTCGTGATGTCTGCAATACGACTGCAGCTGCCAACTGCTACCTGCTACCACTCCAGTTCAGCTCAGTGGCATCCCGTGGTTGCTCAGGCATCGCGGCAATCTCAGCCTGCAGTGGCGAAAGCAAGTCTGGATTGCGTGTGATGTCCAGAACCCCTGACCCTGCTGAAGCCGCAGAGGAAAGGAATCACAACCTTCTTGGTAGCTTTCAACCACGGCCACGACCGGAACAAATCAATGCCGAAAGCATTCATATCGAGGATCCGTCTTTGCATAGATTCAACAGTACCAGAACCAGCTTACCACCGGGTGCCTGCTCTCAAGGTTGACAAGGTGACAGTAGCAGTTGTTGTCACAGCCGAAGTAGTCGTCGCAGCAGCAGCAGCAGCAGAAGCAGAAACAGGAGCCGTGGCAGCAGCAGCAGAAGTACAAGTTTTTTGCCTCACGCCTGGCTACAAGTAGGAAGTACAAGTAGAAGTAGAAGAAGAGGTAGCAGTAGAAGAAGCAGTAATAGTCGTCGTCGTGGTAGTAGCAGTAGTAGTGGCAGCAGTAGTCGTCGTCGTGGTGATAGTAGCCGTAGTAGTCGTCGTCGCAAGAGTCGTAGTAGTAGTAATACAGTAGTAGTAGTAGTAGCAGCAGCAGCAGGAGTAGTAGTAGTAGTAGTAGTAGTAGTAGTAGTATTGCATTGCCATCGTCTTGCGGTCCAGCGCATCCGACGTAGGGACAGATATTCTCCGGCCATTCAATTCAGCACCATATGGGCCGAAAGGATGGCACCGAACTGTTGTCGGCTCCCACAAACCTAGCTCTTGGAGATATCTAATCCATCTCCTCAAAACATACAATCTTTGCTCTGCTACTGGGGCCGGAGTGGTCACCACCACGTTGACTGCTACTTTGGAGAGCAGAGAGCGCTCTCTGCCGAGCTTCACAGCTTTTCTTATGCTCAGCTCCTAGCGTGAGGCTGCAAACTGAGCAACAGTGCACATGCGATTTAGATGCAAGCCGTCCGCACTGCAAAGTGACGCACAGGGAGATGGCACGTCTAGCTGCTGCATTCGCCTTCCTCTCACATCGCCTAGAGTGGAAGCCATCACGGCAAGTCGAGCAGCAGGTGTCCCGATGCGGTGTGGCAATGCGAGTACATCCAGCCACCGCACATAGCGCCATGAAGCGACCTCAGTGCACATGTGAGCGCTCGACAAGTTGCATCAGGCATGCCGCGCATCACCTTGCACCAGTCGGTTCAAGTGAAAAGAGCAATCCTTTGCAGACCTCTCGGCGGTGCCATTCGGCTGTTCCAAGCTGTACAAACGCCTTATTAGCGACAGGAAACTAGCCTAGTGAAGGCAGGTGGCTGCAGGATTATACCGCTAATGTAGACCAGTCCTCGTTACAGGGTTCAGTCTCGAAGAACACACGGCAGGCAGTCCAAGTGGAGATCCCGAGTAATGCGAACCGTCCGTTCCGGGAGATGAAAGCCCAGCTCGCCTAGCTGGGTGTGGACCCTGTCGCCCAGGCTCTCCCACCGCTGCACAGTGTACGCAACGAGGGTAACCCTGTCAAAGGTGTCCCACGCGCACGTGTAGTGCAGAAGCTGGTGGGCCTGAAAGCGGACTGCATGTAGTTGCAATGCATATCGGATGCCCCATACTTCCATTCCTTGAAACAGAATCGCCTCGTCACCCTCAGGGGTCTCTATCCACAGTTCACCATCATCATGTAAAGACAATGCAAGCACCAAGTTGTGGTGACTGTTCTGCTTGTCACGATGAGGAGGGGTACCATAGTTGAAATGGAGAGCAAGTGTTGTCCAGGTGTGCCTCGGACATACCCTCATGATCAAGCAGTTGAGGATCATCGCAACATTCGGATGTGTGAGTGTTTTCCTGCAGAGGCCATGAAAGGGTCCTTTGGCATACGCCCCAAAGCTAACACTGGAGGCCTCACCATTCCGCAGTGCCATGGAGTGTCGAGGTTGCTCATGATCGAGCAAAATAGCAAGCTGCCGTGCCGTGCTCCAGATGGGGGCGCTACCTGCCTCAAGCATGTGCATAGCCAATCTTTCCGCAGCTCCAATTGAGCCAGGGTCCTGCCAGTGAGGGACCGGTAAAGTGGCATGCATCTGCACTGAGAAGGTGCTGGAGAGCTCACCGGCATAGGCCACCAGCTCCCGGCGCCACGGTTCACGCAGAGCTGTGCACGCCCATTGGAGAACATCATTGCGAGCCAGCATCCCAAGTTGGCGCGGCGGAAGTTCCCCAAAACATAGGACATGTAAGTGCCGCACAGCACTCAGAAGCAAATGGGCCTCCAAGAAATCATGATAAATGTCCTCTGGCACTTCTATGCATTCAACAGTCATGCTGGAAAAACTGGGCTGCGGTGTGCTGGCATGGACAGAGTGAAGCTGCTGCCGAAGTCATTAGAATGAGCTGCAGGCCCGGTAAGCTGCATCATTGTAAGCTGGAAGGGGAATGTTTGAGGCCCCGACCGCGGCCCACAGTCCGAAGACCACAGAAGCTATCACCCAAAATTGAGTAGCAGTCTCGCGGCAGGCGAGCAGTGAGCAAGCAGCGCAAAGTGCGCATATGCAATGTGGAGACAGAAGATCGAAAAACGTGCAAATCAGTCACATAGGGGTTCTTTTCATCCAGTGTGCCGGGACGCTTCGGAGTGGCACGTGAATTATGGAACATGGGAGAGTGGACACGGCTGTCCGGAGCCGCTCTCCCTAGTACAGATGCTACGCTCTAATCAAACCCACCAGGTAGGAGTTACGGGTAATCAGCGCAAGTTCTTGCCTAGTCGCAGGTCGGGGACTACGTCTATCATCACATATATGAAAGGTCCATGTGGGTCCATCGGCATGTGCGTCCGGAAAGCACAACGCGGCTTGGTAATGCCCACTGCTTGGTGTGGGCCCGATGTGATAAACCACGAACCCTACCTGGTATGACAGAGAAACTACATCAGTTCCCTCATCCGGATCGAGGAAGTGAGGCAGACTCACATGCAAGCCTGGCGGAATGTTCAGGGCAGTCTGATTTTTGCCACGGCGCTCACCGTACCGACATATCTGCAGGCAGACTAGCCCAAGACCATCGACTATGCCATGCACGGAATACTGATTACGCCATCTGTTGATAACATTCTGCAAGGTTCCACCCTCAGGTCTGACATGTATGGGCGAGGAGCAGCGACCGCAATCTACAACCTGATGTGGCAGGGAGAGACGAGCTTCCCACCTGCCTGCAAGAGCATCCAGAGGCAGCGTAGTGCCCAGGTGCTTCGTGCTGTCGAGTGATTTCAGGCCAAGCGTGAAATATGTGCCGAAAAGCGATGCTCTCTATCAGCGAGCAAGCATGCGGCTGTCGGAGGAATGAAAAACCAGCCTGAGCGGTCCCCGCAACGGTAGGCGTGAGCCCGGCAAGCTCAGGCTGCCAGTAGAGAGCCTGAATAGCAGCATTGGCATAGCAAACATTCATGCCCACAGGATTAGCAAGCTTGATCATCGGCAAGCGGGGGCCTGGCATATGTAAGGGTGGGCGTGGCACTGCCTGAAGTGCCACACCTCCAGAACCCGGCCGACCTAGGCCGAGCTCTGCTGCGTCGCGTAGCCCCTGGGACGCCATTCGCTGAAGTCCAGGGCCTGGTAGGCTTGCTCGATCTGCTTGCTCATCTGGGAACGCTGGGCACGCTCCGGCTTCAGCCTCATGCCCAACATCTTGCAGCAAGCATTGCCCACCAATCGCTGCATAATCCCGTATACCTCGTCGGCTGCCTGTGAGCGGAGGCTGACGGTGATCATGAAGGGAACCACCTCTCCCTCCTTCTTGTCCGTCAGGGACTGCGTGCAGCGAAAGCGAAGCAAAAGCCCTTCCGTAGGAAGAAGCAGGATCAGTCGATCCATGTCCTTGAGAATCTCGGTGTGGGACCTCGGCGCGGTTTCGCCGACTTCCTGCTCCTTCGTCTGTGGATTCCAGACGTGGTACACCCAGGCTGGGTCGAGGGCTTGACGACCTTCCACCAGCCATCCCGCCGCTTGGCATCGCTTCTGCTTGTCGTCGTTGATCTGTAGGTCCTCCAGAGCCTCCTTGAGCTTCTTGAAGATGCCCATCAGAAGCACCAGCTTCAGCGGCGATTTGACCTCGCCCTTGGTGAAGAGCTCTCCCCATTTTTCTGCTGCTTCCTGCACTGACTTGAGGCAGGAGTGGGTGGAAGTATCGATGAAGAGGACGAAGCTTGTGTCTGCACGAAGCATCGTCAGATCCGCTTCGTGTCGGATCAGCGCCCTGGCCACGGTCGTCATGAAGTGCTGGACCTTCTGATCCAGTTGGGCTTTGGAGTGGCCCGAGCTCCAGCCTCTCTTCTGGGACCAGTTCTTCGGCCACTGCGTGGGGCCCTTTCCGCCCTCCTGCTTCATCCATTTGCCGGACCGTCCGGCTTCCTCCCAGTCCTTTCCCCAGTCCTCCTCCTTTTTGTCCTGGGCCGCCGTTTCGCCTGACTTGCCACCAAACACCATGTCGATTTCCCGACTCGCCAGAGCTGCTCGGGGCAGCTCCTGCTCTGCCTCCATCAACTCGGTCATGGCAGGTGTCCTCATGGGAAAGAATCGGGGTAGGCTCAGTTTCATGAGAAAGAACAAGGGCCGCCAGTGAAGCTTGAAACACAGGCACACAACTTTTGAGGTGCCGGCGTGGATCGGCCGTGGGCTTGCAGCAGTAGCGGCACGGGGAGCAAGGATCTAGCCCCAGTGTGTTGACGCGGGCGACAGCTGCGGTGGCATGCTTCCACTCCCGCTCGTGACAGAGACGGTGATGTTGCTTGCATCCCGGTCCTACAAGCGAAATCCACTGATGGCAAAAGACGCAGTATGTTCGCAGGGAGCGACACAGCTCAGCATCACGCAATGGCACGCGCCAGCTCTGTTTCAGGGCGTGACGGAAACCACCATCTTCAAAAAGAGGCTGATCTGCAGCGATTGTGCCAGCTGCTCCGCCCGGCACTGGGCCTGTGGCCGGGTCGGGAGCAGTGACGATAGCCCCGGAAGCTACCTGGACTTCCGAGGCTGGTTTCGGGTGAAGATGGGGACTATGTGGGTCGCCATTAGGGTCAAGACCAGGGCATCCTCCATTGATGTGCTTCTTCAGGCCTTCAACCCTTTGAAAAGATTCGCTGCAAAATCTACAGGTGGGCATGCCATCCAATGCATACTTGGCATAGACGTGGGAGGGGAGCACCCCTTTGGGCCTGGCCCGCACGGTGGATGGTTGCACCGAGTCCGCTGCTTTCTTGAAATGCTGACGAGTGCGATGCGAGCGCATGTGCCGGTGATTCGTGAAGTAGATTCCGCAGTCCGGACAAGGCACTCCCCAGCTGGCTTCAGTGGCTACGAGCCCATTGGCACTGGCATCAACATGTGATTGAGTCGCAGCTAGCTCGTCGCGCTTGCAGCGGAACCAGTTCCGACTGAAAACCTCCCCACTACGCTCTGCTCTACGACCCAACAGTTGTGCCAGCGCTTGATGGGGTGACGGAACTTTCAAGCGCTGCCGGAGGCGTTCGTTGCTCTCGCGTGTGAGATGGACCGGCGAGTTTGAGATTGCACGTAAGGCTCGAGCATCATAAGCTTCAAGTTTCCGGAGCACATTGGCGGGTAACCCAACTGCATGCAATCCGTACATAAGCGTGGAACGGACGCAGGCCACATACAATCTCACTCGGCATCCAAGAGAAAACTTCCGACAGTGCAGTGTGCGAAGAAGCCTCTGGCGGTTCTGAACAGCAGCCTTTAGCCTATGCTTGTAGGTAAACATCTCGAACGATCCGTAGGAAGCAACAACCCCAAGGTACACCATACGGTTAGCACTAGGTATGCTGAGGGGGTGACCAGGGGTTCCAAGGCTTAAACCAGGCTTACCATCAACTACACAGGCATGCCGTCTGAGCCAGTTCCGGGCTGCACTACCGCGCAGCCCCGCCACGATGCAAGATTTGGCAGAATTCACCTTCATGTCTGTTTTGGTGAACAGTCCAAAGAGTATGCGAATCGCCCGCAGAGCACGTCCTACATCCTGCAAGGATTCAATCTTGAAGGCGGCATGACTGTCGTCAGCAAAGAGTGTGGCGACTTCGTTCGCAAACTCCCAGGATGTGCACTCTGCAAACTGATCGAACAGCCAGCAGCTGTATATGGTGAACAGCAGAGGACTAAGCGCACACCCTTGACGAACCCCTTTACCCAGCTGAAAGACACCACTATGATAACCATGGGAGACCCTATAAGTGCATCTCTCATGGATTTCAAGGAAGGCTGCCTGCAGATCCACCGGGATCCCTGCATGGGTCATTGCAAGCTCGAGCGAGGCTCGGGGCAGTTCGTCAAAAGCACGGCTGAGATCAACACTCAGCATGATACCGCCATAACACGTACTCTCCTTACAGCCCTCTCGCTTTTGCCGAACACTGAGCTGACCTCGCTGGATCCGAGATCGGACACTGGCACAGTGAGATGCCACGCGACAGATCGCATCGTCTACGGCCTTGCCCGGGCTGTAGGCATACTGGGGTCGGGCAGTAATGTACTCTTGTACGTAAGGAAGGACCCTAGCACGCAAAGCAATAGCAAGTACCTTAGCACACGGTTCCTGAAGGCCTAGAGGTCTAAGGTCTTGAGGTCTGCGGCCTACCTTCTGGGGTTTGGGAAGGAGAGACAGGTCGCAGCATGTAGCCTCCGGCGGGAAGCTATTGCCCTGTTGCGTGCTACGATTCAGTACATTGGTACAGTAGGTCGCGATATCATCAGGACAAAGCTTCCATACATCAGCTGGCAAACTGGATCGTGGAACGGCCTTCCCGGGCTTGAGAAGTGCAATGGCCTCACTTATTTCAGCATTCGTGAACTTAAGAGCAGCTGAATCAGGAACGACATACGGAATGTCCCTGGAAAACGCACCCTGGAAATAGGCGAAGATTTCCTGAAACTCATCACGAACCGACAAGAGATGACCCTGAGCTGACCGAATGCGAACTTTGGTTCTGCCCTTCTTAGGTGCAATAGTGTTGATCACACGATACACCTGTCCCATATCCTGTCGCTCAGCTGCTCTTTCGGCAATCTGCAGCTGCTCTTCGAGCCACAAGCGCCGCCTGTGTTGGCCTGCAGCTCGAAGTTCCCTGGCAGCCCTACGCAGATTATCTTGCCTATGCCAAAGCGCAGAGGCCTGCCGAAATGAGCCTGGTGGGCATCGTGGGACCTGCGACCTATACAGGTCCCACAGTCGTTCAGCAGCAGCAGTGATGGCAGGGTCACTAGTACGGGTATGGGCAGGTCTACGCTTAGAGGGAAAGAGGCGTTGACAGTGCGGGAGGACAGCTTCGTTCAACTGCTGGATACTGCCCTGCTCACCTAAGCTACACACAGTGTCAGTCACAACTCTGGAGAGCTCCTGGGCCTCAGATGTGCCATCTTTCACAGCTTGCCTAAGGTCCCTAAGAGAAAACCGAACGGGGTGGGGCAGTTTAGGGGCGACTTTCCAGCCAGCAATCCACGGCAAAGAAGTGAAAATGGGTCTATGCTTCGCTCCAAGCCGCCACGGAGCAAGATCCAAAGCGATAGGACATGCCAGGCGCGCTTGCGCATCCGCATGTCTCCGACGCGTAGCCAGAAAGTCGATTTGTGTGCACGTGGAACCATGGACGAAAGTCCCACACGCCGACGCTGCTGACCGGCCCCACGTATTCAGCAAGACGAGCTGTTGTTCTCGAAGCAGGGCCTCAAGCTCGACCTCCGGTTGTCGTCGAGTTTTGAGTACTCCACGCCCGATGACACCTGGCACTGGTCTGACCTGGGTGTTCAGATCAGCTCCAAGGACCAGCAGATGGCGAGTTGGCAGCCCTTGAATCAGCAGGCCTAATTGTGTCCAGAAGTGATGTCGTTGTTTGCTAATCTTGTCCGCGTGGCGCTCCTGCCAAACATGCTGGTATCCGGCCACTATGTCAAGCGTCAGAGTGGTGCCAACGCACCGAACATGTAGCAGCCGTCCTGGTATCCAGGTGACATGACTAACCTGTTCGTCCGCAAAGACTGATCGGCGCAGAAAAACCCCGACACCAGAATATCGCTGTTTGGGATCCGCAGTCGTGACAACGATCCACCCTGGCAGGAGCCAGTGACCGTCATCACGACCGAGGCCGTGGTGTGTTTCTTGAACAATGACCACATCCGCCTCGCACTTTTCATGAAGGTAGTGTTTAAAGAGATCGTAGCATTCTTGAGAAAAACCTCCTATGTTGTACGACAGCACTCGAAGACGGGCTGGTGCTCGGCATTGAGGAGGTCTCTTGGCAGGTGCTTCCAGTGGCGTAGCAGTGGATCTGAAGTTCGTCCCCAGCGCTGCAGCTGTACACCATCGGCCTTTGTACCAAGTTCCACCCCTCTGCTCAGCCCTCCTCCTGGCACGCCGAAACGCACGTTTGCGACTCATACTCCAAGGACCGGTCTGTGGTCCCTTGCCAGAGATTTTCACCTCCTGATCGGAGGCTCCCAGGGCCGCTGTGGTACGGTCACAAACCCTCGGGTTAAGCGGTCCTCGGTGTCCTTCACTCATATTGTTAACAGGATCCGCCCAGGGGATTTGGGACCCCTGCAACTGAAGTCGGTCTCCCTCGGAGCAGTTCAAGATTGGAAGACAGAAGAGGCCAGTCAGGTATAAAAGGCACCGTGCCATGAACCCTGGTGAAAGGAGGCCCTACACAACTGCTCAGCGCTTCAGCCGAAACCCTTAGTAGTAGTAGTAGTAGTAGTAGTAGTAGTAGTAGTAGTAGTAGTAGTAGTAGTAGTAGTAGTAGTATTAGTAGTAGTACAGTAGTAGTATCTGGGGGCGGGCCTGCCCATCAAGGGGTGGCCGATGGGTTTATGAGCTTGTTTAATGCACCCTTCCGAGGCTACTCAAGATGAGATTTTTCAGGCGACCAGGCACTCGGCCAACCAAACACCGCATTAATCCAGCCTCGGAATTACAATTCCTTGCAAGCCCAACTCTCTGACGGCCCATAGAATGCTGGCTCAGTGGCAGCGCATATCTTTCGTATCTCCTCCACCTGTAGATGCAGCCACTGGAAAAGCTCTATTACAGGTGGCACGGCCCTTTTCTCTGGCTGCAATGCAAAATCTCACCCAAATGTCTATAAGGTGCTCCTACCCTACGGAATGCGCGACATCGACAAGAAGTCGAATAGGAAAACTACTCAAAGGACTGAGAACTTTATCGGCTGGGTCGACTTGAAGGTGATCCTGGACCGCTTGCCTCGGGTACCGAATCGTTGGAAACGGTTCTCGGTTTTTCCGAAAACTTCCCGGCGAAGCCTGGCGGAGCTCTTCATCGGAGGGCCAAGAGCAATCCTTGCACGGCTTCCAAAGTGTTCTCTCTCTCGAGCCGTTACGTCGCGGGCCCTGCAATGTGCAGCCGGGGCTCTGCGCCATCAAGCTTGGCCATTTCTGCTACGCAAGGCTTGGAAGACTTCACTGGATGCTCGGAGCAATTCCAGCCAAATTCTGCGGCATGTAGGGTAGGCCCACAAGCAAGTCCCTTCGTCCTGGCCTACGAACTGCACTGGACACGTCCTCGCGACACGACATGACGACATGTGTATGGAATCCTCTATGCTATGCCGCTATGCGTGGGCTTCTGGCCGATTGCATCGATGAGCAGCGGGCGCCGCCAGTCCTTTAGAGCCAAAGCGGAAACTGCCAAGACCCTCACACAAGCAGTACAGCAACCGCAGCAACCTGCTATTGTGCTGCAAACTGGCCAATCTCTGCACTCGGCACTCTGAGGCCAGATCCCCATCACACCAGACACCGGTCTGCGCAGGGATCAAGGAATTCTCTCGCGAGTCTACGCGCGGGAAGCGGGGCATGTCTGCTCTGGAAATGTCCGATGCCCAATTCAATTGCTCCAGGGGGGGGCTGACCATCTGCGTCATCTTGTGCAGCCGATCCACTGCCCAGTCGCCTAGGAGTCCCAACCTCACGTGGGTGTTCTGCACACACGCGCCAGCAGTGCCGATGGCATCCAACTGAAACTACTCAACGGGCTCCAGGAATCCGATGCTGTCAATTCTGTCCAAGTCTTTCACTATATGATTCCTGTAGTTCGTGCTTTTGAAAGCAGATGAACAGAAGAGACCATGCTGCCAACGTGGGGTTTCAACCTCGCGCAGCAAGCTCGGGCTCGCGCGACTTCAGGATAACAGTGACGCCCTGCGACATGCTGCGACGCTGCGCTCGCAAGACTTGCACTTTCGTCATGGTACAAGTATAGCCAAACTGCCTCGAGCTTCCGGCCACCAGTCAAATGTACGGTGTGCTTTGTGAGCCTGGCGCTGCAAAGACTATAGACTGACTAAACAACTAGCGTCGAATGTTGAGCTCTGCAGCTGGGATGGGAACTGCATCCTACCCTGCCATGTAATCATGCAGGTCCTCAAGCAGTGGTCCTGTTATGTCCTGCAGTGCCTCTTGACTACGACGGAGTTCCAGCTGGCAAGAACCGAAGAGGTGTCGCCCTTCCTAGAGTGTAGAGTCGTCCAGCAGGCAGCCAGCATGTCACAAAATCATATTTTCGCTGGCTTCAGCCGGATCATTGCCTGCCTCGCCTCAGGAAACCACAGGGTGACCGCCCTTGGGTAATTGTGTCGGCTGCGTCCTCTTCACGGTGTCCTGGATGTATTCGAGCCTCAGCGCTCTTTTTCAAGACCTTCTGAATGTTCATATCCACAGGACCACAATCAAATCGTAACCAGTTTCTGTCAGCAAACCCCTGATTGAGGCTGCAACTTTCCATAGATAACCATAAGAAACGTCACATCGCCGATGCCGAAGCGACTGTTTTGGACGACACTCACCTGCAGCTCAGGGTTGTCAAGCCGGGCACACGTTGAATTAAGAATCTTCAGGGCCATTCTGAAGCGCCTAGCGAAACATGCGAAACGCGGAGCTGCTTTGCTCCGGCCTTGCTGCGATCTTGGCTGGCATGTACGGACCAATACTCCCACGGATCACCGAAGTCGGCCAACTCGTACATCGGCCTCAGATAATGAGGCAAGGCACCACGTGCATCAAGAATGAACTGGTCGAGCTTGTGCATCGCCACGAACGGGCTCAGACTCTATTTTCCGACTACAGTTTCCGCTGCGCCAAGTCCTGCCAGGGGCCAAACGAGCAAGTCAAGGACGTTCCTGTGTAGACTGTCTGTCCCGCCTGACGTTTCCCTGCTGCCATCTTACCGATCACGTCCGAAGAAGTCCGTCAACATCCAAACAATCCACCTGCATACCTCCACAGTAATTGCCGGCAACAGTCGGCCTTCTGCCGAAAAACATAGAAAGACCTTGAACGGTCCTGCCAGCGCGACTTCCGGCCGTCTTGCGTTTGGGATTGACGCAGCTTGGCTCGGTTGGACAACAGCTCCGCAAGACCGTCGGCGGCCTCGTGTCGATGAATCACTTCTCCAAGGTTCCCTCCGTTTTGGTTGTAGCATAGACTTCTGGCACAGGCTTGCAACACGGCTCTCCCGGGCGCTCCAGCGTAATGACCCTGACCTCTCAACAAAGGCGCTCGCCGCTCGCCTGGACCTCGGCGGTGCTGCAGAACTCCGTTGGAAAGCCGCGTCCCCCAGCCTCACACGGCCGCGCATGGAGCTCTCGGCGACTCGCAGTCTCTGACACTCTGGCCTGGCCGGGGAGCTCCTTGGCCGTAAGGCTCTTGATGACGAGTTGGCGTACACCTTAGGCTGTCGATTGCTGTGAAGGGGCTGCCGGCAGATCAGGAGACGTTTGCTTGGACACTCGAAGTTGGACAGCCGTCATATGAGTGGCTTCCTAATGCTCAATCTACCTGCTTTTCCATAAGCTGAACAGATCAGAACAAACTGTCGTGGGTAGCGGGGACTGTCATGTTACATTGCCCGCGTCGTTTCCCAAGCAGTGCACAAAGCGGGCATGTCCCGCCCAGTGATCAACTACAAGTACGAATGCTTCTCAGAGTTGATGGTGCTTGAAGCTCTGGGCTCCAACTCCTGGCTCAAAGTAAGGAGCCATTCGGGTGCGGGTCGAAGTGGAGAGCATCACTCGGCACAGAAGTATCCGGGAGGACAAGACAACTTTCGGGAGATGGAAACCATGCTTTCCCGGGTCATCTCGCCTCGGTTGAAGCCCCGTCGCTCTCATCTCTGATGCCGGACCTGAAGAGAAGAGCCGTCACACTGGAAACCTGACAGAGGACAGGGAGGAGACATCACAATAGGTAAACTTCCTGTCGAAGCTGAGGGCTCGATAAGCGTTGACTGCCGGGAGCAAGGTCCGAAACCCCAAGCGCCCTGGCCCTACTGTGGCCGTCGGCCGCGGCCTGACCATCCTCCTCGCAGCGAGCCAGGTGCGGTCGCCAGCCTTCGCTGCCTCGGAAAACTTGACTGGAGGCGATGAGGTCGAAACTCAGGGGCAGCCAACGTTTAGAGCCCGGGATGGACGTCAGTCAGTGTACACTCCAACAAGGCACCAGCAAATTCAGGCAAAGGTAAGAACCTCGGTGTTATGTGTTTAATTCTTCCTTGCATTCCAGGGGCCGCCCGCTGTTTTCTCAATGGCCCACCGCAGCTCTTCCTCTTGATGCTCACTGAGCTCCTGCTTCAAAGAAAGCAAATTTAAAAACCTCCGGGCCAGGATCGGCAGCCTTGCTCTGTCCTTCTTGGGGAGGCCCAGAAGCTTTGGCAGCTCTCCGCCACAAAGGCTGTGGATGTGGTGCCGCAGAACAACCTTTGGGCATGATAGCTACAAAGACATGACAGGCCGGGTCTTGTCAGCAGCAGCTTTCAAGATGGCAAGCTTATGGCGAAACAAAGATGTCTTCCACTGTTCCGAGTGGAGATGCCTTTAGTGCAGCTCTGTTGGACCTCTTCCTGTCCTGACTGGAAGGCTCATCTGCAGGCAGCCAGCAACCAGCAGTAAATTGCAGGCTTGCTCTGTCTCTGGTCTCCACTTACCGGCTTGCGAACAAACAATTTGCGGACGAACCCAACTTGGGTGGAGCTTGTCCGATCTGCAGAGTAACGTTGGCGTCTGACTGCGCATGCCGCATAGCAGCGTCTGCACTCCTTGGACTCCGCAGTCGAATGAGAAAGGTGTGACTGTGTGACTACACTTCTTCACTGCCCGTGCTGAAGAATGAACGGACCAAACACTTGAGAAAGCATTGAGTTTGCTAATCGCTGTTGCCGAGAGTCATTGTCGCGCACACAGAAACGAGCCGCACTTGAGGATCGGGATGGCTGTGGAACCTCAGGAACTTGAAAATGCATCTATGCATGTGTATGCCGGCAGGCAGGCAGGCGGCCTTGCTCTGCATGCTGCCTGCATGCATCCCTGTTTGCACGCTCGCCCCTTGCTACAAGTACCTCTCTTGGCACGCAGATGTGCTGAAGCTCATGACAGCACGCTACTATACGCTACTGTCTCCCCCGGTGAAGCGGCCGCGCGGGACTCCCTGAGATACAGCCAAGCGGCTGGCTGAGCCAGTGCCTGGCAACGGGATTTCCCAAGTCGGAGAGGATGCCGAGCGAGTTCACACAGCGCCGCTGGAAAGACGTCCTCCCCACACTAAAAGTCTTCTCCTCGGCTTTCTGATACTTTGAAACTTCTTAATTTTTCCAAAGCCAAAATTCAGTTAGTGTGGAAGCCCAGTCACACTTTCACCAGAGGTCTGTGTCATGGCGGTTCCCAGAGCATCCGCCATCAGCGTGATCGACTCTGAAGCAGGATCCTCCAAGCTGTCGACGGCCAGCACGCCTCATAGCCACTTCATCATCTATGCTGCTTTGACTCCGTGCCCTGCAGGCACTTGCCCCGTGTCAACTGCGTAGGCAACAAAGCTGAAGACGGGGGGGGGCACTGTGCAGGAAGCTCTCGCACTCTAGCAGGTCAAGCCAAGGCACGCTCTGCGGCACACGCAGCCTGGATTCTGACGTCGACATCCGGGTCGCTGAGTGCATTGATCCACATGCCCCGGTTTACTTGAGCAGCCTGCGCGTGTGCTGGCTTCAGAGAATGTTTCAGGTCTACCGTAAGCATCTCCAGCAAAACGGCTACACCGTGGACTTCCTGGATGCCCCACAGTGTTCGCAAGCTGCCAAAGGCCTCTTCATCTCCAGGCTCCATCTCCAGTGCTGTCATTGTCTGCACCGCAGCCAAGCGAACCTCCGAACTGCTGTCCTGCCAAGCTGGAACTCTGTCCGTACTCACAATATGTCGACCTCTGTAGGGTCCTTGTTTCAGGTCTGCCTAGGTCCCTACATGCAAATCCCTGCCAGTCATCGTTGTGAAGAATGTTCGCATGTTCAAGGGCGTTGAAGCTTCTTGCAGACTGTCGATCACCGCAGCACCTTCCGCCGACAGTGTGCAGAACTCCTCCAGAAGGCTCAGCACGAGATCGCATACGCGCTGAGGAGAGACGTCGTCAAGGACCATCCGCCTGGTGTGATTTCTATTAGACTCATTGAACTCATGTTGACATGTTGGTGGCTCCTGTTCAAACAGCAGTTGAATTCAGAGTGCTTCGTCCAGCCGCGCCTGAGTGCTCCCACCGCATCACGGCGCACACCAGGTGCCTTTAAGCACAGGCGAGGCAACGAATACTTGTCGGCTTAAGCCTCCTTGAACTCCAAAAGACATTTTGCCTGGTGACCAGCTGGGTTTACTCAAACCTCATCCATAATTTATGATATATGCATTTCGGCCTGGCATCTATTGAACATCTTGTGTTCGCATGGGACCTGCCGGCACCGGCCTCGTGAGATGCGCAGCTGGCCGCCAGCTCGAAAACGCCTGGGCCGTTTAGTGGCTCTGCAGTCCCGAACAACCCAATCTCAGGCTGCACACAACCTGCGGCATGATCTGCGTGCGATGCTATCTGACGGAAGCCGTCTGGGCTTACTAACGTAGCCACAGCACCAATGACCGAGCGGCAGTGGACGACATACATTCGAAGCACAGCGCAACTTCATTGACTTTTCCATCCACGAGACTCTCGAGAGCTGAAAACTGCTTGCAGGCTGAAAACGTTGTTCACCAGCTCTGATGACGTGACTGTACCGAACCAAAGTCTACCTGCGACTTCTAAGGCCAGCATTGCGCAAAGGGCACCTTTAGCTGGAGATGCGGCTGTCCAGCCTCACCAAGAGGAAGCTGCGAACAGCATGACGTAAGGAAGCAACTCCGGCCGAGGCAAGTTACTACTCCAACTTTTCAGGACAGGATGTGCCATGGTATCGAGAGACTTGGGTCCTGCCTAGATTTCGCTGTCGCCAGCATGCGGACTCCACAATGGGCCGTACCTGAGGGACTGGATGCACAACGCAGCCTCGAAACCGTTGTGCATGTGTGTGTGTGTGTGTGTGCCACTGTCAGTGTCACTTGGCATGGGTGACTGTCAAAACCAACGTCGATGTAATTAATGATGGCATGGGTGATGGAATCATGTTTTGGGCCAGCACCGCATCTCAGGGCATGTAGCCCTGCAGCGGCAGGTATGGGACTGAAGGCGAGGCTGTGACCTAGTTACCGTCCTCAGCGGTCATCCGAACACATGCCAAGTCGCACGAACCGCAAATCTGTGGAGTCAAGAATCTGACATGAATTCGGCACAAGGTTCGAACCTGCCCTGTTCGTTAGGAGCCACACACCTTTCCCCAGTGCGGAAGCAGGCGCGGCTTCAAGCACGGCTGCAGGCTCTGTGGCGGCCAATCGCTGCCTGGGCTGCCGCATGAAAGAGGGAGGAGGGGTTGGAGGGAGAAGGACAAAGAGAAAACGACAGAATTGCAAGAACTCTCTGCATCATTGTTCCAGTCTTACAGCAGCTGAGTTGCAGCCCTAGCAGGGCCGTGTCGACGCGACGTGCATGTTCAGAGCCTCGGGCCTTCAAGGTCAAGACCTGAGCGCTGAGCAGAAAGCCACCAAGTAAAGTCTATAATTAGGTATGTTGCTGTACTCCTTGCATCGTCCCCTGGTACTGTAGAGTCTTAGAGATCTGCGAGAAGCACTTAGGCTGGCTTCTCTATAGCGGTTCTTTTTCTGTCTTTTTTTAGGTCGTTGTTTTGTATATAGACAACTAGAGCGCAGAAGGTGAAATATAGAATTTGGAAACCTGATTGTTCAACTTCATTCGCAGTAGAATCTCTGAGCTTTGTTTGAGCAGCCACCTTTTTTGAAGTGTTCAGAAACAAGTTATTGGTTGCACCATGGCAAGATTATTCTCCAAACTTTGCAGCCACGGTTCAGAAACATGGTTTTCATCATTTAATCAGAAATAGCAGGTCGCCCCCAGGTGTGTGCTGCACGGTTTAGAAATATGGCTTTGGTGGCTGAAACAGCCAAAAAAAACAGGTCGCACCCAGGTGCGTTCTGTTCCTGGCCACACAAATCTTTATATTGTGCAGGCACGGTTTAGAAATATGGCTTTGGTGGCTGAAACAGCAAAAAAAAACAGGTCGCACCCAGGTGCGTTCTGTTCCTGGCCACACAAATCTTTATATTGTGCAGGCACGGTTCAGAAACATGGTTTTGGTGGCTGAAACAGCCAAAAAAAACAGGTCGCACCCAGGTGCGTTCTGTTCGCGGCCACATGTTTCTTGATTTTGTTTTGCCTTTTCCAAGTACGACTTTGTTCCTAGACTAAATGACCTTAAACTCTTAAAGCACGAAGATGCATTATGCATTGTCCTGCCAGGCGCAGGTATACCGGCCACAGAATTGCATGATGTATCGGCAGCCATCATGATGAGCAAACTTTAAACCCTAAGACTGAACACTACACCGCCTACGCCCTATAAGCCCTAAACGCCCGAACCCTAAACGCCCAAACCACTACTAAATCGACGGCTTCAGTGGGGTTGGGTTAGAGTACAGGCAGTCCTACTATATAGGGGTAACGCTTAAAGTCGTAGATAACTACATCAAATGGGGAAATAGCAAATGGACTGATGCAGTCCGGTAGGATGAATATAGATAGTTTAGGTTTGCGTAGCAAATGGGCTGATGCAGTCTGCTAGGTTTTGGCTAATGGGCTGATGCAGTCCGGTAGGTCTAGGCTAAGACATTCGTTTAAACCAAATGGACTGATGCAGTCCGGTAGGTATAGGCTTAGGACCTTCGATACATCTATGGTTTTTGACAAATGGACTGATGCAGTCCGGTAGGTATAAAGGGTTCCGGGTTAGGATTCGATATATCTACGGTTCATTACAAATGGACTGATGCAGTCCAGTATAGTCAGTATATAGAGTTAGCTTGCCGGTGCTTAGCTGTGTGCCTTTGTGTCTCGGGTTGGTGGGGGTGGGGTGGTGTGGGGGGTCGGTAGCTTGACTTGAAATCATATAGGTGTGTGGGGGCTGCGGGGACTTCCCACGGACAAAAAAAGGGGAGAAGCAGAGACAGAGAGAAAGAGAGAGAGAGAGAGAGAGAGAAGAGATAAAGAAAAAAACCGCAAAGTATTGCTTCTCAAATCCAACATCTTTGCCCGGACCATTGTCGTAGAGAACACGAAAAGAGGAAACATGAGCATTTCCCGAACCCACCGCAAATCAAGAATGACTCCGGCGTTAAGAGATCGAAACTGCGCCCTTAAAGGCTCGGGGCTTGCGTTTTTTGGGGTTGGGTTCGTGACCCAGGCGCTTTAGGGATTGAGTGCTTTTTGTTTGGAGATTCAGGGTGTAGGGGGTTGGTACCTAGTGGCCTAGTGATCCATTAGTGATGCATGGTTTCATTATGATTGTGACCAGCCAAACAAAGACCCATCAGTACCCAGTGCATCTTGCAGAGCTTGCTGCAAGTTCCAGTTGGCGAGTCCTCGGCTGAGTGAATCCGCTTTTGCGGTGAGTCCAGAAACATATGACATGGCTGGGTATGAGTGTGCTGAATAACAAGCCTGTATTGAAGTACGTAGGTAGCCCCAAGGCGCTGAAAAAGCAGCCTGTAATAGAGCAAGTATAGGGCGCTGAACAAGCAGCCCGTGCTGGAGTCATGGGCGGGGCTCGTTTTCTGGTGCCCACATGAAACACGCCATACGCTAAGGATTTGAATCACTGCGCCACAGCGACTAGGCAGGCGCCTAGCATTTGCTGGAAGGGGCTCTTTCACTTGATGAACTAGTAACTAGTAAAGTCTCATCTGCTACAAAGTCTGGTTGCGCAGGGATTCTTTGGAAGGAGTATAGGTCCACATGCCGGGTCATCGTACTCAGGTGCTGAGCCACGCAAGAGGCGGCACGTTACTCAGTGGGCAGCCCTCAGTTGATGTTGGGATGGAAAAGGCGCTGAAGAAGCAGCCTCCAGGGCGCTGAAGAAGCAGCCCGAATAACAGGTTTCAGGCTGAGGATGGGATGGAAGGCGCTGAGTAAGCAGCCTCAGAGGGCTCTGAACAAGCAGCCCCCATGAAACAGGCTTGAAGCTCGTGACGGGATGGAAGGCGCTGAACAAGCAGCCTGAAAGGGCACTGATTAAGCAGCCCTGCTGGCCTCATACTGATCCAGTGAAATAGAATTGCCTCGTCGTTGGGGTTCAAAGGCGTGCGCCTGATCTCGGCCTTCCTGCGCCACGGCAATGGCCAGGAGCCCGGGCTTGGCCACGGTCAGATGCGAGCCGTTGTTGTTGCTGATGGCATGTTTGATTGAATCTTGGATTGATTCTGGGCCGCATGTTGTGGCTTAGTGCGCCGGAAGATCACACATGACATGAGGCCAGAAACAGCCTAGAGCATCATCAGGGCATCGAGCAGCCTAGAGCGGCAACCGGCAGACTGAAGCTTAGGGCACCAGCCACAGCACTTGCACCAGCAAAAGCACCGGCACCTGGCACCAGCCACAGCACTTGCAGCAGCACGGCACCAGCACAGCAACAGCACCAGCGACAGCACAAGCAGCAGCAACAGCGGCTCCGAAGCCATGGGGCGTTCGCGGAAAGACAACCATGGATCGTGGCAGGGGAGCGGAGAGCACAACCCCGCGAAGAGGAAGTTCAGAGGCTCCCGACTCTTGGTTCAAATTGGCTTCAACAACGACTCGACAATAAACACCAGTGCACAACGTACTGTTTGGATTTAAGGGAAGACACCTGCTCAGCGACTACGCCTCGCAGATCGCGCAGCGGATCGCGCGCAAGAGGCTGAAGAAGCGTGGCAGGACGGGGTGCCGGTTGTTAGAAGAGGGGAAGGGCGCTGAGCAAGCAGCCCACAAAAGGCGCTGAACAAGCAGCCTATATAACATAGAACCCAGGCTTGATGTGCAGGCGCTGAGTAAGCAGCCTGAGGGAAGGTTTCAGACCAAACCAACCCATGAGGAAGCCTGGGGCCGCGCGGAGATGCGAGCCGAGCAGGCGAGGCACGCTCACATGGCTGCGGAGGGGTTCTGCCGCAAGAGCCACACATCACAGGCAGACGAAGCGGCTGGAACAGCCGGCCGTGAGGCGAAGCGGAGC